AAAGTGCATTTATCTCATGGATTTTATTGATTTTAATTTACTTTCTTTTCTTTCATTAAAAATTTTTGTTCTAACTTATTTATTTTACTCAGCACTGTAGCACTGTCTTCCCATTGTTCATCGATTTGCTCGAGTGGGCACCAGTAACATCTCCATTGTGAGACTTGTTACTGTTTTTGGCATATCGAATATGACACGGGGAGCTTGCCAGGCTCTGCCATGCGGGAGGGATACTCTCAGTAGCTTGCTGGGCTCTCTGAGAGGGACGGAGGAATCGAACCCAGGTCAGCTGCATGTAAGGCAAACACCCTACCTGCTATGCCTTTTTTGCTTATAACTCTTTTTTGGTTTGAGCCTGCACCTGGCAGTGTGTGTGTGGGGGCTATGCCTAGTCTGTCCTCATAGCCCCTCCTGGGGGTACGCAGTGGTGCCAGGGTCATACCCGGGCCACTTGCATGGCCGAGCCCATTGACGTATCTCTCTTGCTTCTTTTGACTTGTTTTCAGTGTGTATCTTATTGTGTTTTTATTTCATTTCATATATTTTATTTTATTCATGCCATTGTCTTTGGTGGGCTGGGGCGGGGGGCTGGGCACCCACCAGCAATTCTTTGACAACTGCTCTGGGCCTTTAGGCAAGATTAAAGCTACGAGTTGTTCAAGCCCTGCGGGGTGGAGGGGGCACCCCGGGTTATCTCGGGGCGCTCAGGGTACCAGAAGGTGCTGGGAACTGAACCCGGGCAGGCATCTGAACTGCAGCCCAATCATGGCACCATCATTTGTGTTATTTCATTCAATTTAGTTATTTTGTCATTTGTTTTGTTAATTTATTTTCATTACTTAAATTTATTTTGTTGGTGTCATTTTATTTCACTTTTATTTTCATACAAGTCATCTATTCTATGAATCTTAGTAAGTCTTATTTTATTTCATTTGTTTTACTTATTCTCTTCCATTTACATAATTTTGTCATTCAATTGTATTATTTTATTTTATTATTTCTTGGGGATTTGGGGTTTGGGGCCACACCTGGCAGTGCTTGGGACTTACTCCTGGCTCTGTGTTCAGGAATCACTCCAGGGACCATATGGGATGCCGGAGATCGAACCTGGGTTGGCCGCATGCAAGGCAAACGACCTGCCTGCTGTCCTATCCCTCTGATCCCCTATTTATTATTGTCGCTGTCACTGTCCTCCCGTTGTTCATCGATTTGCTCGAGCGGGCCCAGTAACATTGTGAGACTTGTTACTGTGTTTGGCATATCGAATACATCACGGGGAGCTTGCCAAGCTTTGCTGTGCGGGCGAGATACTCTCGGTAGCTTGCCGGGCTCTCCGAGAGGGGTGGAGGAATTGAACTCGGGTCGGCCATGTGGCTGCATGCAAGGCAAATGCCCTACCCGTTGTGCTATCGCTCCAGCCCTATTGATTTATTATTATTATTTTAAAATTATTTTTCCCCTATTTAATTTTAGCTCCAGAGTTTAGGGGACCAAACCCAGCCTCACTGATGTGAACCAGTGGCTCCACTTCTGAGTCACAGCCAAACCGTGGCAGGTAGGTCCCTTGCCTGGCACATAGCTGACCGGGTTTGGTTCCTGGTACCCCATGTGGTCCTCACGCACCACCAGGAGTAACCCTGAGCATCCCAGGGGTGGTTTAACCCCTCAACATCCCCACATTTTGTTTCTTCCTAAGACTAGGTGTGGATTCTTCAAACATCAGGTGGAGGGTCAGAGAGATAGTACAGAGGTTGGTGCCTTTTTCTTTTTTTTTGGGGGGGGGTTTGCTTTTTGGGTCACATCTGGTGATGCTGAAGGGTTCCTCTGCACACAGGAATTACTCCTGGAGATGCTCAGTGGACCCTGTGCAATGCTGGGAATCGAACCCAGGCCAACTGCGTGCAAGGCAAACTCCCTCCCTGCTGTCCTATCACTCTGGCCCCTTCTTGCTTTGGGCTATCCCCAATTAGATCCAGGGAATTGGCATATGGGCCTCTGAACAGCCCAGGTGAGCCCAACCCCACGACCCCAAAAAAAGAAAAAAAAGACCCTCTGTGGATGTGTGTTGGCTCGTTGTGCTGTAATCAAAGTCCCGAGCTGCATATCTGCCCCCCTGCATTAATACCGCCCGCAGGGGGGCAGATAAATATCCCCACGCCCCTGCGACTCGGGCTTCCCGGCCTCCCCTGAGCCCCTGGACGGCAGGGCCGCCCCCGCCGCTCTCTGGGCGCTGCGCGCCCTCTTGTGGTCTTTCTCTATCATTGCCACCGAGTGAAGCCCCTGACTGAGACCGGCCACCAAAACCCAGTGAAACGCGGAGCTGGGAGAAGGTGCCTTGCGGATGGGAGCGGCAGCGGGTCAGGCAGAGCCCCCCAAAAGGACAGTGTCAGGAAGACGAGAGGACACCGGCGGCAAAGGAGGAGGAAGGTCAACTTCATATCTCCGTGCCCACCTGGCTGGTTCAGGCCGATGCCTGGGACTGGGCCCCAGTGCTGGAACTTCTTGTGGCCTTCGTGGTCACGCAACTCCTCTAGCCCCTGCTTCCGTGGCACACGGGTAATCCCTGACATGCCCTGGGGTTCCATTCCCCCAAACCCATCATGCACGGACAGTATCATTAATCGAAAATGTGTTTCATACACGATGCTACTGGACTTCAGAGCTTAGCCAGCCCACCCCTGCATGCTCAGAACTCCGTGACCACGAGTGCAGAGCCAGGCAGGCCATGTGCCTATGGCTAGGTGATCACAGGGTGGACAAGCCCAGGGAATGGGGCTGGGGGCCACCGGGCTGAAAAGGAGCTGGCTGACGACCTACACAGTGCTGTGTGGCCGTGGGCACAGAAGGCAGAGCCAGGCTCGCAGGGAGAGCTGCTTCTAACATGTCGCCCTCACCGCCCCCTCCCCCCAATAGTTCTCAGTAGACCCGCTGGAACGTGTGATGGGAGTAGCAGCCAAGGCATGAGAAACTCGGTCCTGTGGGCTGGAGAGACAGAACAGCAGGGAGGGTGCCAGCCTTGCTCAAGACTCACCTCGGTGCCTTCTCTGGCACCCTGTGGGGTCCCCTGAGCACCTCCAGGAGTGACCCTGAGCACAGAGCCAGACCCCGAGCACCACTGTGTGAGGCCCCCGAACAAAAACAAACGCAGAATCTGGACACATACAGACTTGACATCACCTGGTTGTTCCTCTCCCTCTGCACCTGTTTGGGCCGGGAATGGGGACGGAGGGGGCCGTTTAGCATGTCTGACTCCAATTTTTGCAGGAAAGCAACAGTTTCTGTATTCCCTTCCAAGCCCGCTGCTCCTTCGTGGACATGGGTGCCCACCTAGTTAGGGCGAACATTCCTGCTCCCTCCTTCCCCAACCTCTTCACAGGTATGACCAGGTAGGTGCTGATGGAGTTGGGGTTCTCTGCCCCCTGTGGGCTCTGTTCTGACCTGGGTCTCACTGGATCAGAAACCACCAGGTCTGACCTTTTTTTTTTTTTTTTGCTTTTTTTTGGGTCACATGCGGTGATGCACAGGGGTTACTCCTGGCTCTGCACTCAGGAATTACTCCTGGCAGTGCTCAGGGGACCATATGGGATGCTGGGAATCGAACCCCAGTCGGCTGCATGCAAGGCAAACGCCCTACCCACTGTGCTATCTCTCCAGCCTGGGTCTGACCTTCGAGCCTCAGCAGACGGAGCAGTTACAAAGCCCCATGAGGCGGCTGTGTCCTGGGGCTCCACCGGCCCCTGTGATGTTCTTGGCATCCCACAGGGATCCCCTAAGCTCTGGAACTCAGGACCCTGCTGTGAGCAGAGATGAGTCTTCTCTTCTGAGGTAACTAAATGAGGCATCAGTGTGACACTGTCCTCTGAGGAGAGGACAGAACACAGATGCGCACACAGGACACAGGACTTCAGGTGAAGTCCTGAGGTCCCAACCTGGACACCTCCGTCTCAGACTTCAGCCTCCAAGAGGGCGAGAGAGAAATACCCTGTCACCACTAAACCACTAGGGTGTCTGGTATCCTCTGATGCTCGGCAAGTTTTCTTCAGGTTTCTTTATATATTTATTTATTCATTTAAATTATTTTATTTATTTACTTTTGCTTTGTGGGTAACACCCGGCAATGCACGGGGGTCACTTACTCCTGGTTCATGCACTCAAGTATTACTACTCCTGGCGGTGCTCAGGGGACCATATGGGATGCTGGGAATCGAACCCGGGTTGACTGCAGACAAGGCAAACGCCCTATCTGCTGTGCTATCACTCCAGCCCCAAGTTTCTTCAGGTTTTCAACTACTTCATCGACTTACTGTGAGGCTAGTTCCAACCTTTGCTGGAAAGCCACGACATTTCTGGGGTGGCAGCTGGGATGAAGATCCGTCGTCCTCCTGGGTGAGTGCTGTCTGCATCCTTCTTGAACGCCACTGGTGCCCTCATGTCACTGGGTGTGAGTCTAACCCCCTTCTTAATGTGACCTGGTGTAGCATCACCTGTGTCCTGAATGTGTATCCCGAGTTACCCCCGGAATGCCTTTCCCAACAGCACGCACATGCCACACTAGAGAATCTGAAGGACCGGCCAGAGTGATAGCACAGCGGGGAGGGAGTTTGCCATGCACGCCGCTGACCCAGGTTCAATTCCCGGCATCCCCTATTGTCCCCAACCCCAGCCTCTGAGTGCAGAGCCAGGAGTAAGACCGGAGCACATCTGAGTGTGGCCCCCAAACAGAACCAAAACAAAACAAAAAGTATTTGAAGGAAAAGCTTCTACTAGAGGGCGGCCAACATGCATCCAAGTCCTTACAGCATCAAGTGATCTTGTGGTGGCAACAAACACATTGTCCCCACTTTAAATCAACGGTACATCCAGGGCCCGGCCGGGGAGCAGCGGGAGCCTGGGCTGGCCCCGGAGCTGCTGTAGGAGAATCTTCGCTGCTACTTCCGTGGTTGGGAGCGTTGCCGACGGCTCAGGAGACCAGGCCAGCCTGGCCGGCACTTGGCGGGGGGAGCTGGGATCTGCGTTCAGGGATACCTGGGAAGGAGAGAAGCTGTGACTCCCAGAACTCCACAGGAAGTGCTCCCACCAAACTGTTCTCGTGACAGGAAGCAGGGACGGTGAGATCAGACTTCCCACCAGCTCCTGCCCACTCCTCATGCAACTGAGTCTTGGCTTCCAGCGACAATGAATTCATTCCTGGGGTTCCAAAATGCCTTCACAACCAGCAACTTCCCTGAACCTCAAGAACGGGGGTTCCCGAGCAAAAAGAGTGTGAAGTGTGTGTTCCGGAGACGGGATATGGCCAGGGGTGGCTGGAGAGAGCTGCCATGTGGTGATGGGGACTGAACATGCAAGGTGTGTGCTCTGCGGCCACATCCATCCCCCAGCTGCTGGGCCGGAGACCCTCCAGGCAGCCGAGGCTGGGAGCATCCCCTTACATGCCCCCCTCCCTGCTCTCCCTGCAGGCACAGGCTGAGACCCTCCAGGCAGCTGAGGCTGGGAGCATCCCCTCGCATGCCCCTCTCCCCGCTCTCCCTGCATGCATGCACACACTGCCGGCTGGCACTGCAGCCCAGACTCACAGTGAGAAACAGCTTTTCCTTGACATCTGCACGTGAGCAGGAGAGAGGAGCAGAGGGAGAGGAGAAAGCAGGAGAGAGAAGAGCCACTGAGCTAGCAGCAGAGAAGAGGGAGAGAGAGAGAAGCTTCTGCCTTGATCCAGACCTGGGCCAGAACATTCTGGACAGGGGCCCAGTGGCACAGCCTTTCCTGATGTCCCTGCCGGGCCTTGTTCCACGCTTAGCTCATTCCTTACTGCTACACACGAACGCAACTCGCAGGGCGTGGAGTCTGTGGCAATACCACACCTCCCCCCCTTCTGTCTCTCTCTGGGCTCTAAAGCCCCCCTGGGGGTGGCCCCAACCCCACAACAAGCAAGCAAGCAGAACTTGGCTCTGCCGGTGGCCTCATCTCCCCGCCTCTTCGCTGCTTCTAAACGCCTCACTGCTGCACAAAGTGGCACCTGGCAGACACACTCCCAGCTGCCGCCGGCATCTTCCTGACGGCGTGTGCCCTGGGTGGGGACCTGGGTTGGATCAGCCTGTGGGCCCAGTGTCCTGCCAGCCTGGCATGGCTTTTGCTGATGGTTTGCCAGAGGGTGGGAGAGGCCAAACTGGGGTGAAGCGGAGCAAAGGGAGTACCCGAGAGACCCTGGAGAGAAACTGCCCTGGACTGACGCTAGGATGGCTGTGGGGGAGGTGTGCTTGTGCGGCGGGCACCAACCCAGGTGTGCAGGGGGCTCTAACCCGGATATGGGGCGGGCACCAATCCAGGTGTGCAGTGGGCTCTAACCGGATATAGGGCAGGCACCAACCTAGGTGTGCAGTAGGTTCTAACTGAATATGGGGCAGGCACCAGCCCAGACATGCAGTGAGTTCTTCTTCTGTTTTCTTTTTTTTTGCTTTTTGGGTCACACCCAGCTTTGCACAGGGGTTACTCCTGGTTCATGCACTCAGGAATTACTCCTGGTGGTGCCCGGGGGACCATATGGGATGCTGGGAATCGAACCCGGGTCGGCCGTGTGCAAGGCAAACGCCCTACCGGCTGTGCTATCGCTCCAGCCCCATCTTCTTCTGTTTTCATGCCTTACCTAGCGATACTCAGGGGTTACTCCTGGCACTGCACATCATTTTCGGCAGTGCTCGGGGGACCATATGGGGATCAAGCCCAGGTCAGCTCAGCCGTGTGCAAGGCAAATGCCCTCCCTTACTGATCTCTCGCTCCAGTGCTCAGAAGTGCCGTGGATTCCTGCGGGGTGATGAGTTCTAACCCAGATTGCTGCGGGTGGGTCCCAACCCCCATGTGCTCGAACCCAGATGAGGTCCTGGATGCCCCTCGGGAGGCTGCCTGTGCTCCCCCGGGCCCCAGGGACAGGAAAGCGAATCCAATGCGATGCGCTAACCACCTGTGAGGAACCCTGCCTCCACACCCTGAGGCCTACAGGCCCGGGCAGGCGCCTACAAGCTGCTGCTTTGGCTAGGGCCAGTCCCCAGTGTCCTCCCTCCCTCTGGGTAACTGTCACTCATCCCTGCAGACTGTTCTGGGCTCCTGACCCCACCCCTCCAGCTGCCCCCTGAAAACAGCGGCTGCAAGGGGCTCTTCGTGGAAGATTTAAATGTTCACAGCAGAGAAAAAAAAGATGGAAGGCCGCAGGCAGTGGGGGCAGTACAGAAGGGGGTGAACTCTAGGATGGGGAGCCGTGGTCATTCCACGAAGAGCAATCACGGCTGAGAATCCCAGAGTGGGAAGTTCCTGCCGCACACACTCAAACAGTTGCGGTTACTGCATCAGCATGCAGTGGGATCAAGAGAGGCCCAGGAGCCGGGGATACTATCCACGGCAGGGACAGTCCATCTGCCCAGCCTCTCTCCGAGAACGGGGCCTCAGGGGCCCGCTGTGTGTCCTGACATTCGCCTTCTCCCCAAGAGTCTCCTGGCTCTCGTCTGCTCCCACCTAGCAGTGCAGGGGGCCTTCCTTGGTCACCCCCTTTGCAGAAGGTGCCCTGTTTCCTCAACGCTGCCCACTCTGGTGAAAGCAGAGTCAGGGAGAGAGACAGCCCTAGCTGGCCCTTGGTTTCTCTTCTCAGTAACTTGGAGTCAGCAGAGGCTGAGCGACTGCAGGGATGGCCCCGAGACTGAGGTCAGACCCCACCGCCTCCCAAGGATGCGGCAGGAGCGAGCCCCGGGGTGGGCACAGGCCTCAGACTCATCATGGGGCCGGGTGGAAGAGGAGCCTGGGGACAAAGCTCCTGTTCTGTGCATCTGAGACCCCCAGTTCACTCTCTGGCACCCAAAGCACAAGGGAAGCGCCAGGGAGACAAGACAGAGATTGAGGCGCTGGCCTTGCACGCAGCTGGCCTGCTTGGATCCCTGGCACTGCATGGGTCCTCCAAGCCCCTTCAGGAGTGATTCCTGAGCACAGTCAAGAGTGATTCCCTGAGCACGGTGAGGAGTGAGCCCTAAGCACAGAACCAGGAGCCAGCCCTGAGTACAGCCAGGAGTGAACAGTGAGCACAGAGCCAGGAGTCCTCCCTGAGCACAAAGCAAGGAGTAAGCCTTGCGTGCAGAGCCAGGAGTGAACCCTGAACACAGAGCCAGGAGTGAGCCCTGAGCACAGAGCCAGGAGTCAGCCCTGAGCACAGAGCCAAGAGTGAATCCCAAGCACAGAGCCAAGAGTGAGCCCTGAACACAGAGCCAAGAATCATCCCTGAGTGAATCCCAAGAGTGAATCCCAAGCACAGACCATGGAGTGATCCCTAAGCACAGCCAGGAGTGAGCCCTGAGCACAGAGCCAGGAGTCAGCCCTGAGCACAGCTAGGAGTGAGCCCTGAGCACAGAGCCAGGAGTCAGCCCTGAGCACAGCTAGGAGTGAGCCCTGAGCACAGAGCCAGGAGTGAGTCCCAAGCACAGAGCCAGGAGCGATCCCTGAGCAGAGCCAGTTGTGATTCCTGAGCACTGCCTGGTGTTGCCTTACAACAAAGATAAACCCAATCAGAAATGAGCATCAGCAGAAAGGCTGTCTCCAAATGTCCCTGTGCAGACCTGGGCTGCTTGCCCATTTGTGGGGAGATGTGCGTGGATGAATGCGATGCATGTGCCTGCGTCCCATCTTGCTGTAAAGGTAAAAGGTAAAGGCCCTCCCGTTGATCGTCGATTTGCTCGAGCGGGCCCAGTAACGTCTCCATTGGAGACTTTGTTGTTACTGTGTCTGGCATATCGAATACTCTCGGTAGCTTGCCGGGCTCTCCGAGAGGGGCGGAGGAATCGAACTCGGGTCGGCCATGTGGGCCGCGTGGAAGGCGAACGCCCTACCCGCTGTGCTATCGCTCCGGCCATCTTGCTGTACGTGTTAAAAATCCAGTAGTGGGGCTGGAGTGGTAGTACAGTGGGGAGGGCCTTGTGAACTGTTGGACTGGGGTCCATCCGTGGCACCCCATAGGGTCTCCTAAGCCCTGCCAGGAGTGATCCCGAGCACAGAGCCGGGAGCAAGTCCTGAGCAGCACTGGGTGTGCCCTCACCACCCCACCTCCCCAAGAACCCTTAAAACCCAGCAGTGACAGGGATTAAGATTTCTCGCAGGAGGATGCCGAGAACCAGGAGTGCCGCCGACACAGGCTTCTCTCCTGCCGACTCCAGCAAGAAGCCCTGGCAGGCGCAGGGCCGGGGTGGGGGGGCCGGGGGAAGCACTCGCTGATTCTCTGCCAACTGATTAGTGGGTTCCGGGCCAGGCCCAGGACTGGTGCTGCTTAGCCCTGCCCTGGTGGGAGGGAGGAGTACCTGGGCCACACCTGGCACAGCTGTCAGGGGTGGGGGGTGGTGGGGGGGAATGTGGGAGACTAGGGGGTGCTGGTGGTGTGGGGCCGGGCAGGGGGAGGGGAGGATGTGTAGTCTGGGGGTCGCTGACCCCCTGGTCCTCCACCCTGCCCTTGGTACAACCCTTTCCGGGGGTGTGGTGGGCGGTGGTAAGATAGACCCTGGCAGTGCCCAGGGCTTTCCTCCCTTAGGGATCAATAAAAAGTGCAGCCGGGAGGTCGGTGGGTGGACGCGTGCATGGAGCCCAGAGGCTGCTGTGGACACAGGGAGGCGCAGGGAGCACGAGAGGGCCCAGGAGGATGCAGGGGGGCACAGAGGAGTGAGGGGTGCAGGGGGCCCAGGAGACCCAGGCACAGGCCGCCAGGCACCACATACGGGTTCCGGGGTCCCGTAGGGCCCGGCAGGAGAGGACAGTGTGCGTCCACTCTGCACTTTCACTTCCCACAGCTGTGACTTTCGACATGGGGGCCCCTAGGGCGTGGGGTACAGAGGGGAACAGGCTCAAACGGCTGGCTGCGCGGGAGGAATGAACGAGCAGGGGAGCGAGCGGGCGCCCCCTGCTGGCCGCCCCGCGGACCCTCACCCTCAGCGGCCGTCCCAGGCCCGCAGCTGGCCACTGACTGAGAGGGCCTCCTTACCAGCGACCACTTCTGGCTCCCCCCAAAAAACAAACAAAAAATTATTTTCGTTACACCTGGAGGTGCTCAGGGGCCAGGAGTGAGACTGGTGGTGCTTGAAAGACCGTATGTGGTGCTGGGGGTGGGACTGAGGCCAGCACCACAGGAGTATAAGGGGCGAGACGGGCTCCCTGACCCCTGTACTAGCCCGCTACCCGACTTGTTAAAATTAAAGAAAAAAAAATTATGTGTGTGTTTTTCACATCTCTACGTAAGAGAGGAAAACCCCTGAAATCCCATTTAGAGGATGCCTGGCTACCCGTCATGCTTATTTTTAATTGCTTTGCTGTACATGGAATTTTATTTTATTTTTTTATTATTACTACCCAAACACAGTAACAACAAAGTCTCCAATGGAGACGTTACTGGGCCCGCTCGAGCAAATCAACGATCAACGGGAGGGCCTTTACCTTTACCTTACCTTTTTTCTTTTTGGGGTCACACCCGGCAATACACAGGGGTTACTCCTGGCTCTGCACTCAGGAATTACCCCTGGCGGTGCTCAGGGAACCATAGGGATGCTGGAAATCGAACCCAGGTCAGCTGCGTGCAAGGCAAATGCCCTCCCCGCTGTGCTATTGCTCCAGCCTCAGTACACGGAATTTTATAATCACGGAGCATGGGTCACTGCTTGGGGTTTAGATGCTCTCGATGGCAATCTTCGCCGCTGTAAAGCAGCCAGGATCTGATAGGCGCCATTCCCGTCGCTTATCTGTGAATCCCAGGGGAGGGTGGCACAGGTGAGTGAAGCCGCTGTTAGCCGGCAGCCCTTGACCTGGAAGCTGCTTCCCGAGAAAGGGGTCCTGGAAAGCCTCAGCTCCCTAAACAACGGCGAACATGACCAGCCCGCAGCAGAGCCTGGGGGTCTGAAACAACTCCCCAGGGACGCTCAGAGAAAGATCCGGAGTCTGCTGGGATGGCAAGTTGTGGCCAGCCCCCCACCCTCGCCTCCACTCACCCCTGCAGGTCTTATGCGGGATGCTTCCTGGCCGGCCAGCCCTGCCACTCGCCCAGCTCTAGCTTCTCCAAATATCAACTGTCCTTTATGGGGGCAGGGAGGAGCTCCCCACAATGTCCAAACCACTACCCTCCTCCCAAAGGCCTTTCATTCTGGCCTTTCACTGTATCACTGTAATCCTGTTGTTCCTCGATTTACTCGAGTGGGAGCCAGTAATGTCTCTATTCGTCCCAGCCTTGATATTTTACCAGCCTCTCCTAAGTCATCTTTCCCAACGACTGGAGGCTCTTTCAGGGTCAGGGGAATGAGACCTGTTACAGTTACTGTTTTTGGCACATTGAACATGCCACAGGGAGGGTGCCAGGCTCTGTCCATCTGTCCGTGTGGGTGGGACACTCTCGGCAGGCTGCCGGGCTCTCTGATATATATATATCACTGTCACTGTCCTTCCATTGTTCATCGATTTGCTCGAGCAGGCCCAGTAACACTGTGAGACTTGTTTCTGTGTTTGGCATATCAAATACGCCATGGGTAGCTTGCCAGGCTTTGCCGTGCGGGCGAGATACTCTTGGTAGCTTGCCGGACTCTCCGAGAGGGGCGGAGGAATCGAACTCGGGTCAGCCATGTGGCTGCGTGCAAGGCAAATGCCCTCCCGCTGTGCTATCACTCCAGATATATATATATATATATATATATATATATTTATATTTATATATATTCAAACCACTACCTTCCTGCCCAAAGGCCTTTCATTCTGGCTTTTAGAGACAGTGCCCCTAAATTTGGCTTCTCAAACTGTTTCTCTCTCCCAAGCACTTTTCACCCAATACATTTTTCAAGCAGCTCCAGGTATATGCGAATATAAAACAGGAATACAAACTGAACATTTACCGATCGTGAATCAGAAACTTACCCTGAAACTGGGTTGGAAGAGTACAGGGGCTAAGGGGCAAACGTGTTGGACCCCTGTTGGATGGTGGTGGAACCAGGGTGGTCCCACACATCCTGCTGGAAGTGACTCCTGAGCACTGAACCAGGAGTAATCCTTGAGCACCTCCAGGTGTGGCAGGAAACACGCCCACCACACGAGGCCCTAAGTCTCATCTGCTTGCCTGTTTTTCTAGCTGCTTCTGAAGTCTTCCCAGAGACAGTGGCCTCAAGATTCTAGAACTTTCTATGAAATGAGTACGCAATCTTCTCCACCGCAGCTGTGGTTGTCAGGGTGGCCCCTGCTTCTCCTGGGTCTCCAGTGGCCTCTCCTCCATCTCTGTCCCGAGTGGCAAGACCTTCCTAGTGGCCTCTTGCCACTGCGTGTGACACCCCGCTCACCCAGTGCAGAGGGGCTGACCAATCACAGACTTGGGGCCCTGCCAGCCAGGCTTCTCCCCACCCCTCCCCAATGGGAGAGCACAGCAGGATTGGGGGGCCCAGTGCTCCATGCTCAGTGCTCTCGAAGAAGCCTGCTCAGCGACTTAGAGAAACACTCTGCCTTAGTACATCGGCCCTGGTCTCCCTCAGAGCTCTAATGTATTCCACTTTTGGGGGGCTGCAGGTGTATTTGGCGTCATACCCGACAATGCTCAGAGGCTACTCCTGGCTCTGTGCTCAGGGATCACTCCTGGTGGTGCTCAGGGGACACTATGTGGTGTCGGGGATCGAACCAGGATCGGCTGTGTACAAGGCAAATGTCTTATTCCTGGGACTATATCTCGGACCCTAAACTACTATTTCCTTTGTTTTGGGGGCCACACACATGGCAGGGTGCAGGGGGGTCCCTGGCTTTGTGCTGCTGTGTGGGGGCAGGGATCTCCCTGCCGGGCCCTCAAGGCCACCTGTGTGCAAGGTCTGAGTGCCACTTTTTATGTCTGTAACAAATGACCGATATTTTCATGTGAGCCAGCGCAGAAAGTGCGTGACAGATGGTGAGTGTCAGAGCCCCGGGGTGGCTTCTGATTAGCCTTTTTGATTTGTTTAAGTCTGAGGCCATTTGTCAGTATGCATGGCCCTACCCACTCACTGGCCTTCAAGTTCCCTGTCTACCCAGACCCACTGGCTACTTCCAGGGCACCAGGTAGGAGTGCCGTGACATTAGCCTCGTGCCGTTATTCTGCACAATTAAGTTTCCACCGACAATTTTACTGCGTGGCTTTAAAATCCGCAGATGGCTGCCATCAGCACATCCTGCCCCACAGGCTTGCCCCCCGCAGGCCCACTGCTCCCTTTAAAAACGTTCATTTTGTCCCTCATTTTCTCTCTGAACATAACACTTGAAAATGCATTTAAACAGAAAGTAACAGGGCTTTCACGGGGGGCCATAAAAGTGATTTATTCAAGAGCATATTCTCACTCCTCTCCCAAATGGCATCTGTTTTATATGAATTTTCCTTGTGTGTGGAGCCTAAACTTCTTTCAAGATCTTTATGAGTAATCAGAACTTTTTATTCCATCCTCATTCCCTTTTACCTTGCTCGCGGGACCTGTACGGCACCCCGTCGCTGGAAGGGATGGGAGGGGTGGGTGCAGAGAAGCACCCCTGGGAAATTCTGCTACGAAATGGGAATGTTCCCTGTCCCCAAGAGTGGCTTTGGCAGATAGTCAATTAGGTCTTTTTTAATCAGGGAAGGATAGGGTCTTAATTCTTTTTTTTTTTTTTTTAAGTCACTTGAGATGCACTTTAATAATCCTGTTTCCCCAGCAGCCGCAGGAAGGATGCGAGAAGCCTGGTTTTCTATTTGGGTCAATGGATCCTGCATTCCAAAGAGAAGTCATTTTCTGCACCCTCACACCCCCACCTGCCCCCTAGGACTCCCAGTGGGATAGAGACCTATAACGATGGTCCTTTTCACTGCTTCCAAAGCATATTCATTCCCATACATTCATGCACTTCTCTTAAGCAGAGAAAATGAGCTGAGATGAAATCAAGGGCATCTGAAGGTTGTAAACTGAGTAAGTGATTTCAATCAAGGTGGCTGGAGCGATAGCACAGCGGTAGGGCGTTTACCTTGCACACAGCCAACATGGCCGACCCGCGTTCGATTCCTCCGCCCCTCTCGGAGAGCCCGGCAAGTTACCGAGAGTATCTCGCCCGCCCGGCAGAGCCTGGCAAGCTCCCCGTGACGTATTCGATATGCCAGACACAGTAACAACAAAGTCTCCAATGGAGACGTTACTGGGCCCGCTCGAGCAAATCCATGATCGATGATCCTGGTATATTGAAAAAAAAAAAACAAACCCAACTTTGACATAGGCTCTTTGGTGGGGCATCTTTAGTAAGTCGTACTCACCAATGACTGTGCTTTCCTTAACTTAGCTCTGTCCTGTAGTTTATTTTTCTTATCGCGTGACTGCTGGCTGGAATCTGGGGTCATTTCGTGCCTTTTCCTTCTCCTGTAAAGTAAAAAAAGCACAGCAAAGGTGACAAATGGTTGTTGGGCATCTCGGATGCTTGCCCGAGCTATTGGTCCCGGGGGTCTTGTTCCTGTGATGGAAATGGTTGCCTTCTCTCAACTGGAAACAAGTGGATGTCCATGAATGGAGACACGGAGGGTTGCCATTTCGGCATCACGCAGGAGGGAGAGCGGCAGATCAGTACCCACAGCTGCTGTGTGATCTCCACAATAGACTCCTTCATGAAGAAAGAAAGTGGGGTCAAGGTGCATATTGTGCTACTCAGAAAGGGGTCTGTGAGTACATCCGCTGATCTCTGTTGAGGTGGGAAAGTTACACCCAGAGATTTGGCACCATGGTCATCCCTCAGTAAGTTCTCATGTGATCGAATCAAAACCGAGGAGCACAATGGCAGAGAAGCTAGATTTCTCCAGGCACATCTAAGATATTTGGCTTTGGAATCCTCTCTATCCATGCTACCCCCACCCCGCAATTATAAAAGGAAGTGAAGTGTGGGGGTGGGGGAAACCCCTAAAACTGAAAAGCAGAATCAATCAAGCAAATGATGTTGTCTACAGAGTTGGTGGTTTACCATACCCAGAGAGATTATGGGTGGGGCTTGAACACCGTCATTTGCTTGAATATTCTCGGGATGACATACGCTGAGGACAGAACATAGGCAAAAAAATGAAATGTGGGAACACATGTGTCATCTGGTGTCTGTATTCATGTTAGTATTTGCTTCTCACCATCTTCTTTCTCTCTCTCTTTCTCTCTTTTCCTTCCTTCCTTCCTTCCATCCTTCCTTCCTTCCTCTCTCTCTCTCTCTCTTACTTTATTTTTCTCTTTCCCCCCTCGTTCTATTTTTTTGGTCACACCCAGTGGAGCTCAGAGCTTACTCCTGGCTTTGCACTCAGGAATCACTCCTGGTGGGCTTCGGGGAACATAAGGGATGCCAGAGATTGAACCCAGGTCAGCTGTGTGCAAGGCAAGTACTCTACCCACTGTACTAACTCTCCAGCCCCCTTAAATGATATTTTCTGGGGATAAAGTAGGAATTAGCCATCACTGTTTTTACATTCACCTCATAAGATAAAGGCTTCTGCCTCCACAACCACACAACCATCATTCTATCTTAGAAGAGCTTCATAGAAACAGTCATTGTGGGCCAGAATGATAGTACAGTGGGGAGGGCATTTGCCTTGCACGCGGCCGACCTGGATTCAATCCCTGGCATCCCATATGGTCCCCTGAGCACTGCCAGGAGTAACCCCTGATCATCACTGGGTGTGCCCCAAAAAGCTAGAAAAAATAGTCATTATGTCTTTAAGAGACAGGGAAACCAGAAAGAGGGGACTTGTTTTATTTCTGCTTTTACAATTGCCTCGAACTCCCTAAGGTGAAGAATCCAGACAGATTCATCAGAGACTCTCCAACTTCACAAGGGTATAACACCCCCTCTGGCCACCAGTGTCCCACAGTAGATGCACAGATGTCTGTCCTCGAGGCTGGTTCCTGGAAGAGGGGTCTCTGGTTCACAATGTGAGACCGGGGTTGGCGTGTCAAAGCCCAGCTCAGCCCCAGTACAACACGGCTCTATGCACCAGCAGGTGTAGCCTGATGGTCTCTGGGCACACCGGGGGCGGGGGTCCCTAGCCGGGTGGCTTGAAGTGTGCCCCAATGTCCTCAACACTGCTGGGGAGACCCCCTCCTAAAAGTAGATACAATTTATTCATTTTGTGATTGTTTTCATGAGAGGTCATCAAGATTTATAAGCTATGTGACATTCTCTATTTTCGTTTTAATGTGGTATGGATTAGCAATTCTGAAATTACTTTCATTAAGTTTAAGTGAGTACATCCTGTACACATTATTTAGGAAAGATAATATTTGGGGGCACCACCCCAGCTTCAGGAGCCGTCCCTGGCGTGGCACGGAGAAGTACGAGGCACCAGGCATTGAGCCCAGGGCTCTCACATGTCAAGCCAGACTGGAATGTTGAGGTGTTAAAAATACTAAAAACAGCTGTCATGTTAACTCATTCCAGCTACAGGATGCAAACAAATCCCAATTAACCCTGCAGATTTACTAAAAACGGTTCATTTACTTTTCAATTTGTTTTGCATGTATCGAAAGCATTTGCATATTTTCCAAGCTCTATTTTCATCTTTCCATATCCCAAAGGGCCAAGAGCAAAGCTGGGGAGGGGGCAGGGGCTGCCTACCCTGGCCAGGCTTGCTCAAGGGGGTCACAGTTGTCCAGGTAGTTGAAGCGGATGATATCCGTGGGGTGCTTGTCGGAGGATCGCCACGGGGGCTGTGCCCCCTCCCGGGGTACATTCTTTTTTCTCAAAGAAGAGAACCAGAAGGTGGAGGAAGGGGATGCCTTTTCTTCTGGAGGACTGTGTGTAACTGGCCGGACATCGGCGATCTCAAAGCCATCTTTTGGAGGAGTCTAAAGAAGAAAAGAAAGAAAAAAAAAGAAAAAAGAAGAAAAGAGATATCGTGGTTCTCAAAACACTGTCATAGGGCCTGAGTGACAACACAGCGGATAGGGGGGTTTGCCCTGCACGTGGCTAACCTGGGTTCAATCCCCGGCATCCCATATGGTCCCCTGAGCACTGCCAGGAGTAATTCCTGAGTGCAGAGCCAGGAGTAACCCCTGAGCATCGCTGGTGTGACTCACGGTCACGGTCACGGTCCTCCTGTTGTTCATCGATTTGCTCGAGCGGGCCCAAAAAGCAACAAAACTAAACAAAACAAAAACACTGTTATAGTAAGGGTGGCGAAACCAAGAGCATCACTGAACTCCATTCCAGGCACTGTAAAAGCAACAGCTGTAAGAAAGTCAAGGTAAAGGGCAGGTGAAAGGACTTGCTTTCTTTATCAAACCTCACTCCAAGGAGAAAGTGCCAATGGGCTAACCCAATTCATTTGCCCCTGACTGTTTCAGGGGTAAGACATGGGGTCAGAGCTGGTATCCAGCTCTATGATGTCAAGGCCCTCCTCCCCTCATTCCATTCTGTCACTCTTCTTGCCACTGTGTGGTTTCACCACAACTGCAGATAATTTATTCCTAACAATTCCCAGTCCCACCCACCCCCACTCCCAGCCCTACACAAAGGTACTTGAGAAATAATTACCTATAACTCACAGAGACAATTTCAAGTTACATAGATATGATTGGTCATCAGATTTCAAGTGGGCCCAAAGAATACTTTTGCTCTCATTTTCCAAATGGAAATTCTCTTCTCTGTGTGTGTATGTGTGTGTGTGTGTGTGTGTGTGTGTATGTGTGTGAAATTCATAAGACTTGCATATGAATGTAGCCTGGGGGGAAGTGGTATTGGTATGTTGAGAAGCCATTAAAGGCTTAATTTTGTTCTTTAGGAGATTAGGGAAGCTTTGCTGGGTAAATTGGTTTGCTCGAATTCTGAAAATGAAGAAATTCCCCAGTCCCACCTCCAAGCAGAATCAGCTTCTTGTCCTTGTTACCGCTGCCCTTTGTCTAGGTTTCTGTTACAGGATGCATTTGGTACCCAGAGTGCAAGAAAGAATTTCTGTATTTCCCGGGCCTCTGGCTGATGTGCCTAGTAAAAAGTAGGGCTCGAATAATTGTATTCTTAGCACCCAGGATATAATAGTGCTTAATACATAGTGCTCAAGGAATGATTGTCATCTGCAGATCAAGAAGATACTTTATATATTTGTATCACTGACAGCTCATTATTGGTAAAGTGTGTGATATTTGGGTTTCATTTAGATTATAAAACCCATTTCTCTGAACTTCTATCAAATCAGAAGCTGGGAAGGACAAGATAAATACTACCAGAAATAATCAACAATAATAAAGAAAAATTACAGAACTCAAAAGTGCCACCATAAAAGTTAGGTATGATACATACATAAACATCATGAATTCTTAAAAATGTGCAAAATGTTTGGGGCTAGAGAGAGGGTATAGTGGGTAAGGCTCTATAGCGGGTAAGCCTTGCACAATGCTGACCTGGGTTCAATCCCTGGCACCCCATATAGTCCCCCACAATAATGTCAAGAGTGATTCCTGAGCACAGAGCCAGGAGTAAGCCCTTAGCACTGCCAGGTGCGGCCCCTGGCAAAAAATACAAAATGCTTGACACTTCAGCAACATAGGGAATGATGAAAGTGATGATGCCATTTCTTATGAAGTTTGTTCACTTTCCCTGGAGTTTTTTTTTTCTTTTTGGGTCACACCCAGCGATGCTCAGGGGTTACTCCTGGCTCTGCACTCAGGAATAACTCCTGACAGTGCCTGGGGGACCATATGGGATGCTGGGAATCGAACCTGGGTCGGCCGCATGCAAGGCAAATGCCCTACCCGCTGTGCTATCACTCCAGCCCCATCTCTGGAGTTTTTGAGACTGTTTCAAATTATGAATTGAAACTGAATGTTTTGGTAAATGTTTTGTGCAAATTTGACTGTTCCTACATCTTTCTCTTTTATCCTGTGAATTCCAACCATTGCTTTTAGAATAGTGACGCCAAAACTTGCCACCCCCAGATCCAGCCACGTGGGCATCACCCCACTTCTATTATTCTTTTTCCCCCACGCATTACTGGGTTTAATTGACTAATATTTAAAATGAATTTTTAAGTCTCTGTGCATGAGCGATATTGATGTGTCTTTTTATGGGTTTTCTTGTAAAATCTTCATCTGGATTTGCTATAAAGTTAATGAGTTGGAAAGTAAGTGTTCTCCATTCTTCTGATTTTCTAAAAAAGAGTTTGTGCAGAATTGTCATTTCTTCCTGAAATATGCTATAGAATTCACCAATGAAGCTAGTTGGGGGTGTGAGGCTTGTAGAGACATCTAAGTATTGTTTTGGGTTGGAGAGAGAGCTGAAGGGTTGGGGCTCGGGCTTTGCCTGCAGGAGGCTGGATTCCATCTCCAGCATAGCACGGCTCCCCAAGGCTCCCCACCAGCAGTGAGCCACTGGGTATGACCCCCAAACCAAAATAATAATGATAAATTGTGAATTTCTCTGTAGCAATGATGAAAATCCACCTAGATGTCTAAGTGAGACATGTGTTTGGAAGTTTTCCTAGAGCATGTCAGCGGGAGGGACCAGGCACTAGGGAGAGTGAGGTGTGGGAGGGTTGGAGGGGCAGTGACTGGGCTCTACTGAAGCCCCCAGCTGGGAATCTGAGTTTTTCAAATATTGTTCCTTTTTTGGGGGAGGGGGTCACACCTGGCAGTGCACAGGGGTTACTCCTGGCTCTGCACTCAGAAATTACTCCTGGTGGTGCTTGGGGGATTATATGGGATGCTGGGAATCGAACCCAGGTCGGCCGCGTGCAAGGAAATGCCCTACCCACTGTGCTATTGCTCCAGCCCAAAGACTGTCCCTTTCACGGAGGTCGCTGCTTGTAGTGGCTAGGAGCTGCTCAGAGTCCTTCCTAATTCACCTTCTGCAGGGTCTCATGTCTGGAAGCAGCTGTGTTTTCTTCCCTTGCCCCGGAGGAGTGAACCTAGAAACCACAGTTGGACTTATCTTTCCAAAGATGCAGCGTGAGGCCACCAACCTTTCAGCGCTGCTGGTCCCCTTTTCAGTCCACGGATCTCAGCTCTTTATTCTCCTTCCATTTACTTTGGGTTTTAATTATTTTTCCTTTTCCAGATGAAGGTGACTTTTGTAACTTTCATCACTTAATCACTTAATCACTTAACTTCCCGTTAGTCGTCGATTTGCTCGAGCGGGCGCCAGTAACGTCTCCATTTGTCCCTGTCGCGTGCTAGTGTAGCCCAATGGCATCTCTTCGCTCCGGGAACGTGGAGGGCCTCAAACCGATCGTTCATGATCTTGACAAAGAAGTCTGACCATCTGGTAGGTGGGCGGCCACGCGGTCTCTTGACATCCCATGGAATCCAATCAGTAACAGCTCTAGTCCAACGGTCGTCTTTAAATCTCATTACGTGACCAGCCCATCTGATTTTTGACACCTTGGCAAATGAGACAGCGTCCCTGATCCTTGATCGTCGACGGATGTCAGAACTCCGGATTCGTTCTCTCATTTGAGTGAAACGTGATATTCCAAGCATAGCTCTTTCTATTCTTCTTTGGGAGACCTGAATGGCGTTCTCATCTTGTTTGCGTAGGGCCCAGGTCTCTGAGGCATATGTTAATGCAGGAAGAACAGTGGAATCAAAGAGATGTGCCCGGAGCCGGAGGTTCTTCGTCCTCTTAGCTATTTCTTCGACGTTCTTGAAGGCGTTCCAAGCCGCTCTCTTCCTCCTGCGCAGTTCGGGTGCCAGGTCATTTGTCATGTTGACCTCTCGACCTAGGTACACATAGCTGTTGCATTCGGAGATGGTCGTTCCATTGAGAGCGAATGGGGCGTCAGGAACAAGGCTGTTTCTCATAAACATTGTCTTCGTAAGATTCAGCTGTAGTCCTACCTTTCCACACTCACGGTCAAAGTCGGCCAGCATTTGTGCCGCTTGGCTGATGTTTGGTGTTATTAAAACAATGTCATCAGCAAAGCGGAGGTGGTGTAGTTGCCGACCATCTATCTTCACTCCCATTCCTTCCCATTCCAGTCGTCGCATGATGTTCTCGAGGGTGGCACTGAAGAGTTTTGGTGAACTTCGTTGTCTACGCACCAACATCTCATTATGATGAAAGAGAAATCGAGAAGTTCTACATGGAGCTAGAGAAGTTCTATAAAGAAGACCACACCTTCTACAAGATCATTGTGGGTGATTTTAATGCCAAGATAGGACCGAGAAGATCAGCTGAAGAACTTCACATCGGGACCCATGGCCTAGAATGGAACGAACAGGGTGAGAGACTGTCTGAGTTCATCATGTCGACCAAGACCATTCATGGTAACTCACAGTTCCAGAAGGCAGAATCTAAACGATGGACATGGGAGTCTCCCGGTGGACGATTCCACAACGAAATAGACCACATCATATTCAATCGACGGTTTTGCCTGACTGATGTCGCTGTTGTCCCAAAATTTCGAACGGGATCGGACCACCGTCTCCTTCGTGCAAAATTCTACTTCACAGAGCGGGGAGAAAGGGCTGCAAAGTTCAAAAAGAGAACTCCCAGAACGACCACCAACTGGGAACTCTTTGGTACTATTGCGGCAACATGGGAAGATGCCATTGTTGACAACATTGACGAGGAATACGATCGACTGGTTCAGCACTTCCATGAATGTGCGAGGAACGCCAAGAGAGAGATAGCCACAAAAGTCGCCTATCTTCGAAAACTCTTGAACTAATTCGCCAGCGTGGTTTGGCGCATGCCTCAGGCAACCGCAAGCTAACGTCCGAGCTCGCAAAGCAGTGCAGAGATGCGATCAAGGAAGACCTCAAAGAGAGAAGAGCAGAAGTACTGGTAGATGCGGCAGAAGCCGGGAAAAGTATTCGTAACGCCCGCCTGTCCTTCGCCAACTATAAGACCAAGATGACTGCCCTCCGACGTCCTGATGGATCCATCACATCCTCCAGAACGGCAATGGAGAAGATTATCCATGACTTCTACTCAAATCTCTTCGATAGCCATGTCCACTTGCCAACATACCAAATTCCACAGGATGGGTATGTCGTTCCCAACGTTCTCCCTTCCGAAATCCGACACGCCATTTCGTCAGTAAAGAAGCAAACAGCACCCGGCCCAGACAAGGTCAGACCTGAACACCTGAAGAACCTGCCGTCAGTACTCATCAATACACTGGCTCGGCTCTTCACTCGCTACCTGTCTGAATGCAAGGTTCCATCTCAATGGAAAACCAGCAGGACCGTACTACTGTTCAAGAAGGGAGACATCCATGACATTGGCAACTATCGCCCGATCTGCCTATTGTCTGTCATCTACAAGTTGTTCACTCGAGTCATCCTGAATAGGATTGGCAGAACACTAGATGAAGGACAACCATGTGAGCAAGCAGGGTTCCACAAAGGATTCAGCACCATCGACCATATCCACACGATAACCAAGCTCATTGAGGTTTCTCGGGAGTTCAAGATGCCGCTCTGCTTAACGTTCATTGATTTAAAGAAGGCCTTTGATTCTGTTGAGACGGAAGCGGTCATTGAAGCCCTAGCCAATCAGGGCATTCAAGCCCAATACATCAGGATCCTCCGTGAGCTGTATTGCGGATTCACTACCAGGATCTCACCATTCTACGAAGAAGTGATCGTTGATGTCAAGAGAGGGGTGCGGCAGGGTGATACCATTTCACCAAAACTCTTCAGTAACTTTCATAATCATTTTATTTAATTAATTAATTAATTAATTTTGCTTTTTTTGGGGGGGGGGTCACACCTGGCAATGCACAGGCATTACTCCTGGCTCTGCACTCCGGAATTACCCCTGGCCGTGCTCAGGGGACCATATGGGATGCTGGGAATTGAACCCGGGTTGGCCGCGTGCAAGGCAAATGCCCTACCCGCTGAGCCATCGCTCCAGCCCCTCATTTCTTTTCTTTTTTTTTTTTTTAAGAGTAGGAAATGTAGCCTTCAAGACAGTCTTTAGGATTATTCTACTCTGGCCTCCATTTTAAGGTGGAGAATCTAGTATTTACCATCACCAGTCAGAGGATCATAATAGATCTCTGAAAGTTCTGCAGGCGGCAGAGACCGTTGAGGAGGTGAGGCTCTCGCCTTGCACGCAGCTGACCGGTGTGGTCCCTGGCACCGCATACGCTTCCCTGAGCATGACCAGGGGCGGCCCCCAATTCCAAAACTATTTTAAAATAAATAAAACGACTCCTACATTCATTTATGTGACCCCATATGAAATCGCAACCCACATTTTTTTATTATTATTATTTTTGAGCACACCCAGCAGTGCTCATGGTGTATCTCGGCCTCTTTGCTCTGAGATCACTCCTGGCAGGGTTTGGGGCTTATTCCTGGTTCTGTGCTCTGAGATGATTCTGGCGTCATGTGCAAGGCAAGCACCTTGACCCTTGTATATCTCTCCAACTTCACAACCGCCTTTAAGAAGTTAGGAGCTAGGTACACATGAGAGACAGGGAGGGGGGTGGGGGCAGTGAGCGGGCGGGCTCCGTTCATCTGCCTCTGCCCGTGGCCCATGATTGAGGCATCTCTGAGGGAATCACACCAACCTCGGCGGTGCGGTGCTCACAGTGACCCGCATAGCCAGTGAGTGACCTCACTGGCTTTCCATGACTCTATTAACCTGACCATTTTGACTTACAGCAGTTATTTTCTTTTCTCTCCCTCCCTCTCTCTCTCTCTCTCTCTCTCTCTCTCTCTCTCTCTCTCTCTTTAGTCTTTTGTGTCATACTCGGCAACGCTCAGGGGTTACTCCTTAGCATGCACTCAGGAATTACTCCTGGTGATGCTCGGGGGACCATATGGGATTCTGGGGATTGAACCCAACGCCCTACCTGCTGTGCTATTGCTCCAGTCAGCTATTTCTTTCACAGAAAATAAACTTGACTATAACAAAATTCTCCTGACAGAAATTAAATACTAAGCAAAGGAGTGGCAGGTTTTTTGGAATCAAAACGAGGCAATCAAACGAATTTTGTTTTTTTTGGGTCACACTGCTGGTTGTCAGGGGCTCCCTGAAGTCTGATGCTTGGGGATCACTCCCAAAGATGCTCATGGGATTACGTGGTCCTGGGGAAGATTACAGGCTTGCTGCTTCAAAGAGTGCGTTCCAGCCCACTCAGCTACCTTTCCAGCTGTTGGTCATTACTTTATGTGTTTGGGTTTTGTTTGTTTGTTTGGAGGCCACACCCAGAAGCGCTCAGGGGTTACTTCTGGCTCTGCACTCAGGAATTACTCTCAGTGGGACTCAGGGACCATATGGGATGCTGGGGATTGAACCTGGGTCAGCTGTGTGTAAGGCAAATGCCTTATCGGCTGCACTCTCTCTCTGGCTCCTGTTGTTCATTATTTTAAAATGCAGTCACGTGAAAATATTTTGTGGAGGAAGAGGATTTTTCAGGCTTCACACCCAGTGATACTCAGGGGTTATTCCTGGCTTTGTGCTCAGTGGTTGCTCCTGGGGGTGCTTGATGCTGGAGTTTGATGCCAGGGATCAAACCAGGGTTAGCAAATTCAGGGTAAGTACGGCAAACCTTGTCCTACCACTCCACCCTAGGAAGAAGTCAGTTATAAAAACAAGGCACTGCAGTCAGTTTCCTGTCTAATAGTCAGGACTTCTCTCATCCCGTGACTTCATCACTCTTCGTGTCTGTGCTCCCAAACAGCCTAAGCTCAGCATTCAGTGTCTCTCTTGTCTGCAGTTCAGGAAGAAGTCAATTCAGGAAGTCATAACTGAGAATCTTTAAAATGACTTTCCCTAGGAACTGAAGATATCATACAGGGGGACTTGGCTTGCCCCAACAGATCTGGCTTCGATCCCCAGAACCCCCATGTAATTCCCCAAGCCCCACCAGGAATGATTCCTGAGCAACCCCAGGTATGTCCCCCATCAAATGTCATATGTTGTATAAAAAATTTTAATAAAAATAGAAAATCAAAATAACCTTATAAAAACGACTATAGGTTAACATTTTCTTTTTAAAAGAAATCCTCATGAAGCAAACCTACTTCTGAAATCAGAAAGACCGGTTTTATCATTGTAGCATAACATTAATTATGCAGAGTTTATGGCAATATTAAATGTAGATGGATTCTGCTTTAAGGTAATAAAACTAAACCTAAATGAGCAGACATGGAGTTGACTATTCATATTTCAAAAGGATTCTTCAATTGTAAAAACGTTTACTGCTGCCTTTTATAGAATATGATGCCCCTGTGGTTTTAAAAATCATTTTAAAATTTCATTTACACATAATTTCTCAGGAACTCATCTATTCTACAAGATCACACACAACTCTGCAAGTATATGGACTGTGCTGGAAAGAAACAGCTCATAAAAATTTCCAATAAGTTATCTAATTAACTGTGACTGTAAGAATGGGCCACTACGTGACTGGTTATAATACAAAAAAAAACAACTACAAAAAATATTCTTGCATTATTTACTTTTTAATAATTATATGTACATGCTTTACTTTGCTCAAGTTTCTTGCTTGGAAAGGAACTTTAGGGGCTGGAGTAATAGTACAGTGGATAGAAAGTTTGCCTTGGATGTAGCCCACCTGGGTTCCATCCCCAGTACCCCAGAGGGTCCCCCAAACCCTGCCACAAGTGATTACTGGGTGCAGAGCCAGCCCTGAGCATCACCGGATGTGCCCCCACCACCAAAAAAGAACTTTAGGCACAGCGGGTAGGGAGCTTGCCTTGCATGCCTAAGCCCTGGGTTCTATTTCTGGAACCCCATCTGGTCCCCCAAGCCCTATTAGGGATGATCCTTGAGAGTAGACCCAGGAGGAAGCTCTGAGCAGTACCAGATGAGGCCAAGAAACATACAAACAAAAAAGAATTCTAATGTGCTGGTATGCCCTTCCCTAATAACCAAATTATTGAAAAACTTTTCTTTATAACTTACATAAAAAAAAACTTCAGCTCAATTGGAAGAATATAGAAAACTACATTTTTTTTTCCTTTTTGGGTCACACCCGGCGATGCACAGGGGTTACTCCTGGCTCATGCACTCAGAAATTACTACTGGCGGTGATCGGGGGACCATATGGGATGCTGGGAATCGAACCCAGATCGGCCACATGCAAGGCAAATGCCCTACCTGCTGTGCTATCACCTCAGTCCCAGAAAACTGAATTTAATTGGGTCAGATTCGATGACCAGCGATAACACACAAGGCACACGAGCCCCTGAGTCTGGGTATCAGCGTCAGAGATGCAGAAAGTCAGGAAGTGAGGCGGGGGAGAGGGCCTTCTCACTCCTGGCGGGAAGCGTGTCAGAGGGAGGCTCTCAGAGGAAGTTCCCTTGGGAAGGGCTCTCAGATCTTAGAAGGAGGATGTTGACGACCCAGTGTCTTTCTCCCTCAGCATCACCGGACTGTTTGGTCTGAGCTGTGTAGCTCAAGCCCAGATGTGAGCCAGCCATGCCCAGCCCCTGATTTACCTTCGGCTTGGTCACGTGCAGCTCTTCCACCCTCTGAATATAGAGCTTCTTCCACACACCCTGCTCGAAGGGCGTTGGGCAGAAATCGATGCACCAGTTGAACCGCAAGCACTTGAGCATCCACAGTTGGTCCAGCTCCGTTAAATTCTTCCAGTGCCAGCTCACCTACGAAGGCAATGGCATCTGAATGGACGCAGGGCAACTGCCCGCGTGTCCACTGCGCTAGGCTCTAGACGGCCCTCTCACACTGGAGAGAATGAGCAATGTTTTGGTAGTTCTGAGTGCATGGTGCCTGGGGGGGGGTTGCTCCCAACAGTGTTTGGGGGACCCTGCGATGCCAGAGATCAAACCTGGGCCTCTTGCATTCAGAGTCTGTGCTCTGCCCATTAGGCCCTCTCTCCGGCCTTTTAGGCCTCTTTCTAGAAAATCTGTACTTATGCTCGTAGCTTTTCTGGCTTGGCACGCCCGCAGTCTACAGTGTGGGATCCCTCTTCTTGTTGCACAATCCGAGACTGCAGGCGTTGCCGCAGCCACTTCCATCCTGTGAGCCCATCCCCCTCAACAGGCTTGCACTGAGGGTATCTACAGCCCTGAGTTAGATACAAAGGGGACGGGGGCTGATTCGGGCACCCCCATTTCTCCTTCGGGGGACCTTCCTCCCGCCAAGACCAGCCGTTTCCGGTTTCCCACCTGTGCACAGCGGCAGAGGGTCCGGGGGTCCAGGAAGGAGAAGATGCGCAGGGACAGCACGCGGGGCAGCCGGGTGGTGAAGTCCAGTGCCTCGGCCGGGATGCGCGCCTGCAGTCTCCGGCAGCAGAACTTCTGCTGGGACAGCGAGCAGCGGTCCAGCAGGCCAGCCAGGACTCTCCTCCGCTGAGCGTCCGTCCACTTGTCAAACTGGAAAGACAGAGGCAATCAGCTGCAGGTGAGAACTTGCACAGGGGCTACCGCAGGGATGACATGGGGTGGGTCCCTTCATTCTGAAAGGCCGAGCTGGGCCTCTGCCCGTCCTTCCCTACTACATGCCCTAGGCGAGTGCCCTGGGCCCTGGGCCTTAGCAAACAGGCAATGATGCTGGCCCTTCTGGAACGGAGGGAAGTACAGGCAGAAGAAATGTAGCTTCACTGGCCGAGCAAGTGAAAACAGAGATAGATAAATGGGACTATCTTAAACTAAGAAGCTTCTGCACCTCCAAAGAAACAGTGACCAAAATACAAAGACAGTCTACAGAATGGGAAAGGATATTCGCCGAATACACATCTGACAAGGGGTTGATATCCAGGATATACAAAATACTGGTTAAACTCCACAAGAAGAAAACATCCAACCCCATCCAAAAATGGGGCAATGAAATGAACAGAAACTTTCTCAAAGAAGAAATCCGAATGGCAAAAAAGCACATGAGAAAATGCTCTACATCATTAATCATCAGGGAGATGCAGATCAAAACCACAATGAGATACCATCTCACACCTCAGAGACTAGCCCACATTCAAAAGAACAAAAGCAACCGATGCTGGCGTGGATGTGGCGAGAAAGGGACACTCCTTCACTGTTGGTGGGAATGTCCACTGGTTCAGCCCTTCTGGAAAACAGTATGGACGATTCTCAAAAAATTAGAAATTGAGCTCCCATTTGACCCAGCAATACCACTCCTGGGAATATATCCCAGAGAGGCAAAAATGTATAGTCGAAGTGACATCTGCACTTGTTTGTTCATTGCAGCACTCTTTACAATAGCCAGAAACTGGAAGAAACCTGAGTGCCCAAGAACAGATGACTGGTTAAAGAAACTTTGGTACATCTACACAATGGAGTACTATGTAGCTCTTAGAAAAGATGAAGTCATGAACTTTACATACAAGTGGTACAATATGGAAAGTATCATGCTAAGCGAAATGAGTCAGAAAGAGAGGGATAGACATAGAAAGATTGCATTCATCTGGGGGATATAAAGTAACAAAGTAAGAGATTAATACCCAAGAATAGCTGAGATCAGCGCCAGGAGGATTACTCCATAACTTAGAGGCCAGCCGGGTATCCTAGAGGAAAGGGCAGTTCAGATAGAGAAGGGAGCACCAAATTAAGGATGTTTGGAGGATCCTCCCAGGAGGGGAGATGCATGTCGAAAGTAGACTATGGACTGAACATGTTTGCCACTCAATGCCTCTTTTGCAGACCACAACACCCAAAAGGAGAGAGAGAACACAGGGGATTGCCCTGCCACAGAGACAGGGGGGATGGGGGGATGGGGGTGGGAGGGATATTATCCATGGTGGTGGAAAATGGGCACTGGTGGAGGGATGGGTGTCTGATCATTGTATAATTGAAACCAAAGCACAAAAAATTGTAAATCTACAACTTTAAAAAAAATAAAATACAATAAAGGGAAAAAAAAAAAAAAGAAATGTAGCTTCAAGACAAGGCCTTGGGGGCCAGAGCTATAGGACAGTGGGGAGGGCATTTGCCTGGCATGTAGCCGACCTGGGTTCAATCCCTGGCATATCCCATATGGTCCCTCAAGAACAGCCAGGAGTGATCCCTGAGTGCAGAGCCAGGAGTAATCCCTGATGACTGCCAGGTGTAGCCGCCCAAACAAACAAATATTAAGCACTGCACTGTCCTCCCATTGTTCATCGATTTGCTGGAGTGGGAACCAGTAATGTCTCACAAAAAATTGTGAGCCTTGTTGTGGCTGTTTTTGGCATATCGAATACATCACGGGTAGCTTGCCAGGCTTTGCCGTGTGGGCGAGATACTCTTGGTAGCTTGCAGGGCTCTCCGAGAGGGGCAGAGGAATCGAACTCGGGTCGGCCATCACTCCAGCCGGAAGCTGCGTGTTCAGTCAAAGAGGACAGCCTTCCCCAAATAGAGACAGACCGGTTTTCGGTCGAGGGTATATGAGTAGCTGCGCTCCCCTGCTAGAACCTCTAAAACAAGCTCATAATAATAATAATAATAATAATAATGAAAAGGCAAGGGCCCTGGCCCCCTGGACGCCCCTCTCTGAGCTCACCAGCAAACCTTCGGAGACCAGGAAAATCCCCACGAACGGGCCAAAGTTTCATGGGGTATGAGCATGAATGGGGCTGAGAGGAAGCAGCAGAAGCGACAGGGAGTGGAGACGATGACAAGGAAGTGGGGTGGGAAGGAATTAGCCGCCATCCGCCACCCAGACTGCCCAGCTAACGCTCTGGCTATGGCCTGACTGTATAGCTCGAAGAGAATGCTCGGTACCCCCCATGCCCCATTACCAATTAGAAAAATGCATGACGTCACTACACTAAAGCTGACTTGTCCAATAAGGCTTACAAAAATACTTTTTTTTTTTGGCTATATACGTATTTTTGTTGTTACTGTGTCTGGCATATCGAATTTTAGTCAGTTTGTTGCACATGTGTCTCGAACAGGGAAGGGACTTCACGGGGCCCTGAACTGTGAGGATACCTTGGGTGGTCTCAGTCTCCCCTTTTGTTCATCACCCCTTAGAGAGGAGGGGACATTTGGGCTGTATGGGGCACTCACAATACATCCTGGTCAGGATAGGCCAAAACGGTGCTCTTCAAACAGCTGGCTTCCTTATGCCTTAGTATCACTGTTTCCAAGAAACTATTCATGCTGAGAACTGACTGCACTCGGACATTGTAAGTGATTGCATGTCACATGGGTTTCCTGTATTAGTGCAGGTAGCCAGGATGCTGTAAGGAGCATTAGTGGCCAGATAACACCACAGCCTGGCTTGCTCTTCCAAGCCCTGTTCCCCCTTGAACATGGATCTTGCTTATTTTTTTCCATGTTTCTCTGCTCGCCTATTTCCACTCTGGAGAAACGTGTTCTCTCTCAAATGTGCTAATCCCTCTCTCTTTCCCCCGCATCTTTCTAAATAAATTTCAATTAAACCTACCTTGCCTCACAAAATAAGAAAAAACATGTGCAACAAACTGACTAGAAACACGTATATAGCCAAAAAAAAAAGTATTTTTGTAAGCCTTATTGGACAAGTCAGCTTTAGTGTAGTGAGGTCATGCATTTTTCTAATTGGTAATTCTAATTCTTGACTATAAGCTTTCATACTTCTAAACACTATTCAGTGACCCGCAATTGCACTTTGGAGACTAAACCGTGGGGGTGGGGAGAGTAAGGAGGAGGAATCCTGAAAAGAAGGGGCCAGGCCAGGGTCTCAGCGGGTGAGGCCCACACAGGCACCTGACACTCCACTGGTTCCCCCTTAGCATCACTGGGAGTGACCTTCCAAATTTTTCTTTTAAAAATTAGAGCTGAAGTGGGGGAGGGGAGGCAGGAGAAAACCTGGGGGCATTGGTGGTGGGAAATGTGCACTGGTGGAGGGATGGGCGTTGGAACACTGTATGACTGAAACCCGACCATGAACAGCTCTGTAACTGTGTATCTCATGGTGATGCAACAAAAAATAAAAATAAAAACAAAAACAAAAAAATAAAAACAATTAGGGCTAGACAGAGAGTACATGGTTACATGCTTGTCATGTACATGCTTGTCCTGTACTCTCTCAACGGTTTAATCCCCAACACTGCATGTGGTTCCCTGAGTATTGTCAGAAAAGTTTGCTGAGCACAGAGCCAGAAGTAATCCCTGAGCACAGAGCCAGGAGTAATCCCTGAGCACAGAGCCAGGAATAAGCCCTGAGCACAGGGCCAGGAGTAAGCCCTGAGCATAGAGGCAGGAGTAATACCTGAGCACAGAGCCAGGAGTAAACCCTGAGCACTGCTGGCTGTGTCTCAAAAACCAAAACCAAAACTAAGCAAATAAAATCAAACAAACACATTGGACTGGAGAGCTATCTCAATGTGCTAAGGGCAGGCTTTGCTTGCAGGGGCTCAGATTTGACCCCAGCACCGCCTAGTCCCCAAGCACCATTACGATGGACCTCCACAAGCACAGAGCCAAGAGCAGTCATTGAACACTGCTGGGCATGATCCCAAACTAAAAGAAAATAATAAAGAACAAAAACACTAATTCCCTAACCACTAAGCGAATAAACTGTGTTTGTTTGCAATAAACCCTGATTTTTCCTCATCTCATGGCTATACAACCTATATGTCGGCCTCCTGCAAAAGGTGCTTTTGCTCTGACAGGGGTGATGGATGGATGACGATGGTGCAGAGTGAGAAGCCAGACAGGAATGGCCAGGACCACCGACCTCTAGACCAGGTGGCACACAGAGCTGTGGACACGGAGGAGCCCCATGGTTTGAGTTTGGTGGTAATTTGGGGGGCTCACGCTGCAATTACCTCTCTAGCAGCTATAGAGAGAGAAAAGTTCCACATCTGAGAAGTTCCACCGTAACTTTTCATTTGCTTGCTTTCTATTTTCAGATCACACTTGGCGGTGCTTAGGGCTGCTTCCTGGCTCTGCGCTCCAGGATCATTCCTGGTGGGGATTGAGGGACCACAGACATTGCTGGGGATCAGATCTGGGTTGGCTGCATGCAAGGCAAGTGCCTTACTTGCTGTCCTACCTCTCTGGCCCTATACTAGCATAAGTTTTGGGCTGAATTTCCTGTGATTCTTCTTTGAAAAATAAATTGAAAATTAGAATTCATTTTAAAAATTACTTTTGAAGGCCAGAGAGATAGTTCAGGGGTTAATGCATTTCACTTCCAACCTCCCTTCAACCTCCAGCACCTCATATCCCTGGCACAATGCCAGGAATAGTCCCTGCACTGCTGGTGTGTCTCAGAGGACCCCCCCCCACACCCCATTTACTTTAGGGCACCGCTAAATGGTTCTGTGGAAATGAAGCAAATGTGGGAGCCAAGGACGATTAGGTTACCAAAAAAATTCCATCAGATGTTATTAATGAAAGAAATCAGAAATAAAATGCCCAACAGTAGGGAAGCAGGTAAGTAACCAGCAATAAATTAGCAGAGTAATATGGCATTAGGTAAAGGTAAAGGCCCTCCCGTTGATCGTCGATTTGCTCGAGCGGGCCCAGTAACGTCTCCATTGGAGACTTTGTTGTTACTGTGTCTGGCATATCGAATACTCTCGGTAGCTTGCCGGGCTCTCCGAGAGGGGCGGAGGAATCGAACTCGGGTCGGCCATGTTGGCCGCTTGTAAGGCGAATGCCCTACCCGCTGTGCTATCGCTCCAGCCATGGGGTTCTCACGTCCATTCTTCTATTGCTTCTATCACTTGTCATTTTTTTTTCTTTTTTGGTCACACCTGGTGATGCTCAAGGGTTACTCCTGGCTTTGCACTCAGGAATTACTCCTATCGGTGCTCAGGGGACCATATGGGATGTTGGAAATCGAACCCAGGTCGGTCACATGTAAGGCAAACTCCCTACCATTGTACTATTACTCCAGCCCCAACTATCACTTGTCTTAATAAATGACTGAATCCAGTGCCAGCACTCACCGTCTCTCTCAGACTCAGTCCTCATCTACACATTTAAGAATAATTATATCTACAAAGTAATGAGGAGTAAATAAATAAGTGTATAAAATTTCTATGCAGGGACCATAGCTCATGGTCAGCACGGGAGCTAATGTTATAAAATATTATAAATATTGACATTGAAAAGAATAAACATGCGGGCTAAGTGAACGTAAAAGAACATAATTCATGAACAAATTAAAGGAATAAAATGACCTCCTTTGTTCACGAAGGGTCAGAAGTACATTTACAAAGACCGACGTTAACTCATCTGTTTTCACTGAAGCCACAGAAAGAGAATGGTTGGGTTGAAGACTGAGTGATTTAAGATGCATATAAAAGAACATTAGGGTTATAAAACGATGAATAAATCTATAAAACATGAACACATTCTCCTGGAGAGATTCAAAAGATAATGACACTGGCTCCTTCTCATTCAGTTCCCTGGAGACACTGGCCCAGGTAACTGGTGTTTGGCTGGGAGACATGTTCTTTGCCCCCGGGGGTTTTCTTTTCTAATTGTGTTTGCTGAGGTGAACACTCAGGAATTTGCATCCCTGGAACTCCTATCCAAGGAGGTGGCTGCATGACTCAGAACTCTGCACAGAGGGGAAAATCCCCCTGGAATCTACGAGGTGCCAGGAATAATCCCCAAAGCAAATAATCCCTGCGAGAGTTAACTGTACAGGAATTCGCTAATCCCTGAATTTTCGGCCTCGCCTGTCAAATGAAAAGGCCCAAGTGGAAGCAGCCAGGAACCCCATGGGTGAGCCAGAGGTGCAGCTTGAACTTAGAGGCCGCGATTGTTCTGGTCTGCTGGAAGGCCCATTGCCACTGACTTCCTTTCCGACACAGAGTGGCATAGGAGAGCATGATATACTTTACTGTTTATTTAATTGGCTTTGGGGGCCACACACCTCTCCCTCTGCATTCAGGAATCACTCCTGGTGGGGCTTGCGACCAGGGCGGGGGGTGCATTGTTCTCTACGTCGTCCAGTGACTGTGGAATCAGTCCTGGGGATGAAAGTGCCTCGGACAGAACCATCTGCCAGGTTTCTGCATTCCTGGCCGAGCCCTTCCGAGGGAAGGCGCAGTTCCTCGCAGACCCCAAGGACTCTTCGCACCTCCTCCCCCCGAAAACAGGGCCGAGTGTGGAGGGAAGAGTACTTTCAAGCTTACCCATTTGCCCAGCAGTGCTCTTCTTTCTTCAAACACCTGCAGTAGATGAGAGAGAGGGGAAAGATTTCGTATTTCATGGTTCAGTGCTCCCGCTGCCAGGAAGACCTCATTAAAGGCTCACTCGGGCAGCGGTGCTCTTTTGCGTGCTCACAGAGTATGAAAGGACACAGACTAGCACCAGGCAGAGAGCAGAAGTCTAGCATGTTCGAAGCACTGTGTTCTCCTGATCACTGCAGAGGATGGGGCTGGGGTCCTCAGCAGCCTAGTGCCTGGCTGACACTTCCAGGGCGACCCCTATACATTTAAAAACAAGTCCAATCTCATTTCACTATATCACTTATTTGGCTCTCGTTTGGGGGTCACTCCCAGCAGTGTGCAGGTGCTACTCTCAGCTTGGTGCTCAGGAGAACTTGTGGTGCTAGGGACCACTCCCAGGCCTCCTGCATGTGAAACCTGTGCTCCAGCCCATTGAGACACCCCTTCAGTCGCCTTATTATTATATCTTTTTATCAAAAGGAATACTTTTATTAATATTGAATTAGATACATAGTTACAATTTTTTCATTATTGGGTTTCAGTCAAACGATGTTTCAACATCTATTCCTCCACCAGTGTACCTTTTCCACAATCAATATCCCCAGTATCGTTCTTGCCACCATCCCTCCCTCCCTACCTGAATCTATGGAGACACTTCTCTCTATTTTTTTTGGGGGGGGGCATTATGGTTTGCAATACAGATACTGAGAGGCCATCATGTATGTTTGGTCTTTTAACCACTTTCAGTACACATCTCCCACCCAGAGTGATCTCTTCCAATTATCATCGTCAGAGTGGTCCCTTCTCTATCCCAATTGCCCTCTTCCCAAGCACTTGAGGCAGTTTCCAACTGTGTACCAATCCTCCTGGCCACAAGGAATACTTTGTGAAGTAAATATGGTAACCTAAGGTAATGAGACTTACTGCACACATTAAGTTATGCTAATGTTGAATCATTATCTTGTATATCAAGACTATATACTGTTACCAAACAGTTTACAGCTCAATTTAGAAAACCATAAAGCACAAGAAAGCCACAGCAGCAAGTTCTGCTGTATGTCAAAGGATGTTGGCTCTAGCTCCAAGTCAAGCCCTTACATCTGTACCCAGTCGCCTTATTTTTTTACTTGAACACATCTCTTTTATCAGCTGCTCTCTGTGGCATGGATCATGTGAAAGAATAGGGCTGGCGAGAGAGAATGGGAATGAAGGTGCTAACCCCGCACAGCCAACCCCAGTCCCAACTCCCAGGGCCACACCCCCCCACCTCCCACTAATAGACTTTTATAATATTGAGGTGGCGTTTGTCCTATTTCAGAGTGCAGGTGCATGCGTGAGGCAACGCGTGTTTGTGTCTGTAAGGTTGGCGCTTGTGCTTTGGCACCCCTGGACTGATGTCTGTTTTTTTTCTCAGAGAAGGTTTGAGACCCCATGTCACTCACCATCCCGCCATCTCGGAGGTGACCACCATCAGGAGTGACCTGCTAAGTGGGCGGTTTCGGGGCACCCTCTGATGTGTGCTGGAGCCAGTGAGGATGGCAAGAGGAGGGGAGACTGTCTGGTAGAGCAGGCGCGAGCGGGGACCAGCTGGGCCCGCCTCGCCCCCGCTCCCACGCCGCCCTCCCCAGCTCAGCCTTTCCTCCCCACCTCCCCCGTGCAGAGCAGCTTGGGCCTGTCTCTCCAGTTTCTGTGGGGGCTGAAGCGACGCTCGGCAGATGGTGCTTCCCTTCCTTCCTGCCCTCCTCCCTTCCACTCTTGCAGTTGCTCTGCAAAGGCGATTGTGATCATCAACAGTCTCAGGGCCAGTGGAGGGTCTGCACTCTGGGGTCAGGGAACCTCAGATCCCATGGCAGAGGCGGTCTGTACTAGGGGAAGAAGGAAACATGAACCTCTCCCTTGCCTGGAGAGGCCCATGGAAGGGGTCCTCCAGAAGCCAGATGCAGGCCCAGGAAGTTGCTTCCTAACCGAGTCCTCTCCGGGCTGGCCCTGCAGTGGCCTGGCCGACACTGACCACCCCTGCCTGTTCTCCTCCCTATGTGTGACCCATGTACCCCAGCTCTCTACCAGTCTCTCTCCACTTCCGGGCTCTGACCCACCTGTGTGGACAATGGCAGACAGAATAATGACCAACAGGCTTCAGGAGACTTTTGAGGTTAATGGGGCCTTTGGATCTTTGGGTTCAATCTCTCTATTTTATTAATTAATTAATTAATTTGCTTTTGGGGTCACACCCAGCATTGCACAGCAGTTACTCCTGGCTCATGCACTCAGGAATTACTCCTGGCGGTGCTTAGGGGATTATATGGGATGCTGGGAATCGAACCGGGGTCGGCTGCGTGGCAGGCAAACGCCCTACCTGCTTGTGCTAATGTTCCAGCCCCTCCATATTTTTTTAATTAAGAAAAGATTGGCTGGGGGCACATCTGGAGCCCCTCAGAGATTATTCCTGGTTCTGTGCTTAGAGATCACTCCTGGCGGGGCTCGGGTGTGGTTTCATAGATTGGATCCGCCTCCTGCACGGCAAGTGCCCCCCCACTGTCCCCCGCTTCGCTATCTCTCAGGTCCCAGCCCGCCATTCTGCAGGGAACATCACCCCAATATCAGGGATTCAAAGGGATTTCCAGGCCACTAGGCTCAACCCTGATGTGATTCCTTGGGAATTGTGCCCTCCACCCTTTGGACTTTCTGCCTCAGATTCTCCAAGAAACTCTTTGTGTATTGGGTGGTCAGGGAGAAGGAGAAAAGGCCAGCCCCTTTGTCTTCCCGAAGGGGCCAGGAATGTGACTGGACACTGGGAACAAGGCTTGAAAGGGACAGAAAGAAAGGGAGAGAGAGGGGGCAGCAGCAGGGAGTGGGGGGCGTGGCAAGTTCTTCACCGGAAGGTGAACAGACCCACATGGGGCTGATGGGAGAGAGGGACGAGGATGCCTATGGAGGAAGTGATCCGGTCCCCCTTCTATGGAGCAGGGGACCAGTCATTCCTCCTGATGAACCAAGAAGCCACTCCCAATCCCCAGACTGGAACGGGGGACCAGTGACACCTCTTCTCCACCCTCTACAGAATGGTGAAGGACCCGCGGCTGCCAGATTCTTTCTTGGTGGCATCTACAGGGGCACGTTGGCATGAGGCGCTTGGTCTTAAAGAACCCCAAGATGCAGAGCAGTTGGAGAAATACAGGGCAAGGCACTTGCCTTAAATGCAGCAGACCCTGGTTCTAATCCTCAGCAGCACACAGAGTCCCCTGAACACCACCAGGAGCTGCCCTGGGGAGCGAGCCAGGAAGAGTTCCCACACATTGCAGGATGTGGCCACAGCCCATTAACAAAAAGACCTGGAAGGCAGGATTGGTTTGGGGTGGAAATCTGGGAAATGCTCATTTGGCCTTGCAGAGAGCTGCTGTCTGTTTATATCACAGTCTGCTCGGAGCCGGCAGCTAAGGCTGTTTTTCACGGCTGTTATTTTTATTGGTTGAAACTGCAGTTACGTGGCTCACCCTGTGCATCATCCCAGGACAGGAGGAAGGCATGAGGGGCTCCGAAGGCAAGAATGATGATGGAACGGGGCGTTTCCCTTCTCAGGACACCTTCCCTCCAGACACTGCACAAAGAAATGAGTTTCCTCCCGTGGCAGTCCTTGATGGCACAGAAATGCATCTTCAGGACTGGAGCGATGACACAGTGGGTAGGCATTTGCCTTACACGTGGCTGACCCGGGTTCGATTCCCAGCATTCCACATGGTCTCCTGAGAACCTCCAGAACTAATTCCTGAGTGCATGAACCAGGAGTAACTCCTGTCCATCACCAGGTGTGACCAAAAAAGCAAAAAAAAAAAAAAAAAAAAAAAAAAGAACATTCTCACCCTTCCAGACATATGAAGCAACCCTCCTCTCTAAATCCCTACTGCTTCATAACCTTGCCAGTGATGCTACCATTATATTTTTAGGCAACCCTGTTTCAATCCAATCTTTCTGCCTGCTGCAGAGGAAGGGAAGACGCCTGCTCTTCCCATCTGGAATATTTACCCACGTCACAGCTCAGGATGGAAGAAAGAGAAAAGTGAAGCCAAAATAAACAACCTCAAAAGTAGACTGATCATTGCTGACAAACATTTTAGAACAGAGAATAGAAACCTGCTGGGAGTTTGGCCTACATGCTCTTGATCAGCAAACCCTTGAAATTCATTCTCTGTCTCTTTCTCAGAAGTCTGGGTCCGTGAGGGTCGTCAAAGGCCATGGGATGGAGCTCAGGAATGGAGGGTTCTTACGAAGGAGGACAGGACAGTGTGGGAGCATGAGGCTGCCTCCTCACCCCCCCACCTTACAACCCCCAATACAGAGACAGTGTGGACAGATGAAAATACGGAGGACTTGGGGCTGGAGTGATAGCACAGCAGGTAGGGTGTTTGCAGCCGACCTGGGTTCGATTCCCAGTATCCTATAGGGTCCCCCGAGCACTGCCAAGAGTAATTTTTGAATGCAGAGCCAGGAGTTACCCCTGTGCATCACCAGGTGTTACCCAAAAAGCAAAAAACAAAACAAGAAAAAAAAACACAGAGGGATGGATCCATGCAGGAAATTATGGATACTACAGATCTGAAACCACCATTTTCCATCTCCAGAGCTGCTGTTCTTCATTTACATATATAAATATTTATTTCTTAAATTATGTGAAACTTGGAATTATTTATTATCTGTTAATTGGGGGGAGGTGGAGCGATAGCACAGTGGTTAGGGCACTTGCATTGCACGTGGCTGACCTGGGTTTGATTTCTCCATCCCTCTCAGAGAGCCCGACAAGCTACTGAGAGTATCCCACCCTCACAGCAGAGCCTGGCAAGCCTGTTGTATTTGATATGCCAAAAACAGTAACAAGTCTCACAATGGAGATGTTACTGGTGCCTGCTCAAGCAAATCAATGAACAAAGGGAGGACAGTGCTACGGTGCTAATTTGGGGGGGAGGGCATCCTCTAAGCAGAGCTCATGTGACCAGGATGCCTCCAGGCAATACTTGGCACTGTTGTGTAGCCTGGGGCCTGGGCTCGATGGTTTGGGGATCAGTAGGACCTCATCAAGCCCTGCTCAGGGACCCAGTGGTGTCAGGGGCCAAATTTAGAGCCCAACATCCAAGGCATACACTCCAGCCCTTTAGCTGTGTCTCCAGTCCTTAAAATTTGAAAATTACAGACAAACGAAACCAGAAATATAGGACAGCAGACCTTGCATAAAGCCAGAATTGGATCCCTGGCACCGCATATGGTGTCCTAAGCACAGAGCCAGGAGTGATCCCTGAGCACAGAGACAGGAGTAAGCCTTGAGCACTACCAGATGTGCCCCCCCGCATCCCCCCCCCAAAAAAAACCAAAAGACAGAAAGAAAAAAGAAAGAAAAAGAAGAGAAACACTGTAAGGCTGGGGGCAAGGAGAGCCCACCCCTAGGGACTGCAGGGTCAGAGGTGGGGCAACCAGGCGTTCCAGCCACTAGACTCCCACGACATGACTGACCACTGGGGTTCCATGGGGATGCTAAAGCCCCCCAGATCCAGCAAAAACTAATAGGATTGAGTGTGCTCTGGGGCCAGTGGACAGTCCCCTCCTGCCATTCCCTAGGTTCAAAACCCCAGAATCAAACACCCAAGGTGTGATTCTCTAGGACCACAACCTGCAGCATTAATTCAGTTGTTTCTGGCAATAAAGACAAAGCTGCTGAATTAACTAAGACTTCTAATACCCAAAGAAGATTTCTGAAAAATCAAGGCATCCAATAAATATGGATCTCAATTCAAGTCACTTTTTCACACACGTCTGAAACCTTCACAGTCTTTTGGGGAAACAGATTTCATAAGGAAACGCTGGAGCTGGGGGTGTGTGTGTCTTTGTTTTGGAGGGAGGAGAAGCAGAGAATTTGTTCTGTAAACTGTGACAGAGCCTTGAGCTTTGCAAACAGGCGCTCAGCAACCAACCCGCAGAGCAGACAGGAAAGACTCCCTGGCGCTGTTGTGGGAATCAACACAGGCGGTTCTCACTCCTTGCTCCCTTTCTCTCCTTTGCTCCCCCTTCCCTGACCTTCCTCTCCTGTCGCTCTCCCTTTTGCTTTTCACTGCTCTGATGCATTTCCCCAAATTACACAAGTCTCCCCAAAGTGGGGGGAGACACAGGCGCCAGGGTAGGAGGACTCGGCTAGGTTCCCAGGTACGAAGGGCCACATTCAGGCTGAGGAGTGAGGGAGGGGGTCGTGTGGGGACAGGAAGTGGGTACCCCCTCAAGGAGGTCCCAGAAATCCGAGTTGGACTCTCCTTCCAGACCCCTGGCAGGGACTGGAGAAAGAGCAAAATGGCAGAATTGTATTGAATGCCATGGGAAACTCAACTGCAGGGGTGAGACGAGGGGAGCAGTTGTCCAGGGGTTGCTATTTGGGGGGCCACACCCAGCAGTGCTCAGGGCCATTCCTGGTAGTGCTGGGGGAAAGGGGATCAAATCTGATGCTGGTGATTGAAGCGGCATTAGCTGGGTGCTAGGCTTAGTCCTGTCCAATCACTCAGCCCAGAAAGGCACACTCGGAAGAGACCCTCTGAGCTCATGCAAAGGCCAGGAGGGCACAGCCAGGTTTGAATGGACAGTGAAAATAAGCAGGGACCTGGGCTGGCCTGCCAAGGTCACCTCATAGAGGGAAGGTCCTCATGTTGGGGGGCACCGAGTAGAGCCAGGTGTGGTCCCAAGACCCTAGACACAGATTTATCTTCCTGAGAGGGGCCAGGGGCTCCCAGCAGTGCTCACGGGGGCTCTGGAGGCCTCTCCCAGTACTTCTCCCAGGTCAGCGGTTCAATGCGAGGACCCAAGGGTGTGGAACTGCTTGGCCCTGATGTGCATGGGCCACCCGCTCCCACAGTGCTTGGGTGGGGCCTGAACCAGGGTCTGAATCAGGCTTGGCTGCTCCAGTTCCTTTTGAATAGCCGACATTTGCAACATTGCCATGAGTCGGGGCAGTTTCCAAGCAGTGCCCTGGGCTCTGAGGGTTGCGTTCAGAGCCACCACAAAGCCAAACATCGAGTCACATTCTCAGTACTGGGCTAGAGAACACGGTGCTGCTTGGGCCCTGCAGAGCTAAGGACCACCACAGCACCCCCACCAGTGCTCCACTCACAGTGCTCAGGAGCCCATGTTGGGTTTAAATCTGGATCCCAGTGCATGCCAAGTCTGCACCCCTGACCACAGAGTTATTGTCCCAATTATCCATTTATCGCTGGAGCGATAGCACAGTGGGTAGGGCGTCTGCCTTGCACGCGGCCAACATGGTCGACCCGAGTTCGATTCCTCCACCCCTCTCGGAGAGCCCGGCAAGCTACCGAGAGTATTCGATATGCCAGACACAGTAACAACAAAGTCTCCAATGGAGACGTTACTGGGCCCGCTCGAGCAAATCGACGATCAACGGGAGGGCCTTTACCTTTACCCTTTACCTTATTTAATTTAACACGTGGATCCAGTTGAGAAAATAGCTCTGGTCACTTACTTGGTCATTCAAAAGCTGATGGTTTAAGGGTGTCCAGGTACTCATCTTGGTCTGCATTTTGGGACCGTCTATGCGTTTCGGAGGTGCAAATGCCATTGTGCATGAACAGGACAGTCTTTCCTGAGAAGAACTCTACCTACCAGGAAAAATTGAGTCATGTTACCCTCAAAATGCTAAAAATGTGGATACCGAACAGTCTTCTGGTTTGCTGGAGAGGGCAAAGGGCAGGGGGAGAACCAAGGCTAGGTCTGAAATCTCGGAGGCTCTCACTTGACATTTACCACAATCTCTGAGTTATGGTTGAGGCTAAAACCAATGTTTAACCTTTCTGCTCTGGCCTGCTGCCTTCTGGTCCTGGAATTCAGGTCACAGAGAGATACTTGGGCTCTTCATACACTGCCCATAGCAACCAGGAATTGATACCTCCCATAGGTAGGAAATGACCCGTTAGCTCATTGTCTGCATTGCACAGCTACAAAATTGCACAAGACAAGAGGGGCGCGGGAGAGTGTACTTTGCTGTGCTTTGCATGTCAGAGGCTTGTGGCTAATTCCCAGCACTTTCACAGCCCCCCCCCCCCCCCGGAGCACCAATTTAGGAGTAGCCCAAGATGTACTATTGACTCTGTAGTACATCTGCTCAGGGATCACTTCTGACACTTCTGATGGTAACAAGGGGATCAAACCCAGCTTGGCAACACAATCTTGGGGAAGCATCTTTTATTTTTATTTATTATTATTTTGGTTTGGGGGTCACACCCAGTGGTGCTCAGGACCTGTTCCTGGCTCTGAGCTCAGGGATCACCTCTGGCGGGGCTTGGATGAACTTGGGTCGGCTGCTTGCACGGCTATCCTTTTTTTTTGCCTCCTATTCTCGGTCCGTTCATGCCCTTCTCTCAGGACACACTGACTATCCTTCGCTCAGAAAATACGTCCCAGAGGACTGTTTCTTGGCCCGTATGATTTGCTAATGCCGCACACTTGACCTCTCCTCTCAGTGGCACCTAATCCGCCCTCAGTAACATTTATTGAGTCAACTGAATGAATACAGAAGTGGAGGGCGGCTGGTGGAGAGAGTGAAAGGAGAAGACACGTGGGTTGAGACTGGGGTCATGCTGAAGCCCAGCGCCTTTCTAACGTGAGGTTTCCAGGGCTGAGCAGAACTGAGATGCTCTGGATTGCACCACGCGCCCCCTGTCCACTGCGGCATCACTGTCCAGAGCGCATCTTGGCTCTTATCAGGAAGTTCTCCGCAAAGAGAGGGCCTGATCAGTTTTAAGTGAGAATTCATCTTAGAGTCTGCCCGTTAGAAACCGGCAGGCAGCTGGAAAGGGACGAGGAGCTGCAAGCCCCCGGTCAGACTGCGAAGCGGCGGGGCGGCGGGGAGCGTGCGGGTCTCTAACCAGCGTCTCAATCTGCTGCTCCCGCAGCACCTGCGCGGGCGCTCACCTGTTCTGTGGGCCTCCCTCCTCCAGCCTCGGGCGCTGCTGTTGCTACAGTTGCCAGTTGCTTTCCTCGCACTCTCCAGCCCCCACTGCTTGCAGTGGTCCAATCACCGTCTACGCAGCCTTTCCCCGGCATCCGGGGTCTCTTAGGCAACAATGTGTAGCCTCTCGATTGGCCAGGAGATCCGAGGGTTGGCCCCAAAATGGGGCGCTAGGCGAAAAAATGAGAAGGGTGAGCGCCCAGGGAGTGGGGGGTAGGACTGAGCCCCCCTCCATCCCGACATAATGCCAGGATGTCGACGCGTCCAATCCCGAAACCAGGCTCTCATTCAGACGCTTTTGTGTTGTAGCTCTTCTAACGTACTGAGCATGCCCAAACCTATGCCTCTGGTCACTCCCGGGCGCGGAAACTACAGATCCATGTTTCCAGGTTTTAGGAGCGACCAGCAGGTAAAATGAGGTTTGGAGGAAAAAGAGGTGGCGGGCGCCTAGCTCGAAAGTGTGGCTCTGGCGGCAGGAAGTGGGAGGATGTGGGGGGAAAGGACCCACCCAGATTGGCAGAGGCTTCAGCAGGAGTTTAAACGGATTGGATTCAGAAATTCAGAGGGACGGATACATCAGGGAGCCAGCAGGTGGCATGCCTCAGTAAGGATAATTCCAAATTTGGGAGTGTGTGTGGGGGCATCTAATCTGGCCTAATTAATTAAATTTATCAGAGGCATGCTACCACGTATAAGGAGGAAGGAACAAGAATGAGAAGTGGTTCCCTCCCCACCCCCCAAGAAATCTAAAGAGGAAACACAATGTAAAAATCAGAAATGTAAGGCCCACACTAGTCATTTCTGTGATAGAATTATAAGCAGGACTTGGAAAATAACAACAAAAAATCTGGAATTTCTGAATGGAGCTTCATTGGTGAATGCAAAGCAACTCACATGGGCAGCCAGGAACCAAAAGAAGACAGAAAGAAAAGAAACGGGGTTTTCTTTACTGTCTTGAGTTTCCTAGAATCGTAAGAACTCACTCCCATTCATTTAAACAGGTGTAAACTCTGTGTTTGCATCTGTGTTTGTATTGTTTCATGGCTTGGAAACGGGCAGTAGTTGTAAGAGTGAAGCTTGTAAGAATTGTTGCTTTCCTTGAGTGACCAAATCATCTGTAAGTCGTCTGAAATTAGGATGGAGCTTGTATGAGTTCCTGCTAGTGGTCTTGCCACAGGATCAGATTTATTGCAAATGAATACACAAAGGAGCGGGGGTGGGGAATATATGTAGCTGCTGCTATGCTGTACTAAATTACCACATTGCACCAGTAAACATGGAGGGTTTGAAAACGGGTTCTCCCAGAAAGAGACCAGTTGTAAAGACGCGCCGAGTGCTGACTCTGAAGTCCTGATCATTAAAGACTTTCTATGGGCGGTTACAACATGGAATAAAGGAGACACGGGATTAAAGAGAGCATCTCACTTGATCCCTGTTGGATTTAAATATATATATTTTATCCCTGGAAATAAGGTCCCTTGAGTGCCGGTTCCCAGCCAGCATTTTCCGGGCGTCTTCTCGTCCCACACGTCAACTGCTGACACTCCGTTTCTGCCCCTCTGAACTCTGAATCGCGCCCATCACAATGCACCATAGTGGGCACACAGTGCAGTGTCCACAGAGAAAAGTTTATACTCACCTAAGAAACACCCTTGCATCTCCACTGAGATTCAAAAATTTTATTTATTTGGGAGGTTGTGGTGTCATACCTGGCAGTGTTCAGGGATCATTCCTAACAGGACTAGAGGAACCTTATGTGACACCAGCCATCAAACCAGGGTCAGTTGTATGCAAGGCAAGTGCCTTACCTTCTGGGCTATTTCTTGGCCAGATTTTTTTTTTTTTATAATGGGGAGGTGGGGAGCACACGCAGCTGTGCTCAGGGCTCACTCCTGGCTCTGTGCTCAGGAATCACTCCTGGTGGGCTCAGGAGATCATATGGTGCAGGGGATTGAACCCTAGTTGGCTGTTTAAGGCAAGTGCCACACCCACTATGCTACCGCTTTCGTCCCCGTGGAGAGTTTTAAAATATATTGACATTCTGCTTATTTACTTGTTTGTTTTAGGGTCCTACCACAGGTGCTGTGCTGGGATCACTCTCTACTGTGCTCAGGGATGGGAACTTGGGATTTCCGCATGACAGGCATGCCCTCTAGTTCTTTCAGCTCTTTCCCCAGGCTCTGTCATTTTCTTTTTGGGGTCACACGTGAGCGTGGTGGTGCTCCAGGGATCCTGTGATCCTGTGTGTGTGTGTGTGTGTCTGTGATTAGTGGTTGATGCCTCTACTGTACACTTCCTGAGACTCATTCTCTACTTGCTTGCCTAGAGGCACTATCCTGAGTTGTCGTGTAGCCCTACTGGCCCATTTTTCAAAGTTCATTATTATGTATGCCTGCCCTCTCAAACCACAGTATTGGGTGGCTGGGTGTTTTTAAAGAGGCATCATCATCTCCAGATCTTGTAGCTTGCTTTTTTGCCCTCAAAGCTATAATTCTGACGTTTAATTACATTGATTCATTCGGTGATAATTTCTACATCGTCCCCTTATGATGACAAGCTCTATGTCCAATGACGGTTTCCAGAGGACAATATGTGAAATGCATGGCAATGCGTCAAGCAGGAGGTCTCCAGTAGTTCCATGGGCCAGGATGTGGAAATGGGTCCCACCGTGATCTTCACTCACTTATCTTGGGTACAAGTCAGGCCACTCCACACCAGTGTGCTTAGAGTCAGCCCAAGGATCAATAGCACAAAGTAGCAAATTGTTCAGTGAATTGAGCAGAATGGCCTCCCTGAGCATGGAACACCAGCTCTGCTGGTGTGCCCTCAAACCACCACTCAAACGCATTTGCACAAGTATTTTTTTGTTTTCTTTTTTTTTGCACAAGTATTTATTAAAACCAAAAATGTCAGTTCAGATTCGGTTTGTTATTTTCTCATCGTTTTCCTTCGGATGGGGAACCATAGGTTATCTGAGCTCTGTACTCCAGAACACTAGGCTAACGTTTATGGGCTGTGTGGTCGAGTCCGCAGGACATGGGCCATCCTAGCTCAGGGACACGGTTGGGCAAACAGGGTCAACAGGATTTGATAAGGACAATGAGGCCCGCCAAGTCCAGGCTGAAAAGGGCCGGAAAGGAAGAGCCCCAAAAGCACGTAAGGGGGGGGGGGTAGCTGAGAAGGGGCAGCTCTGGCGTGAAGCGGTTGCCAGTCTCTGGGGGAAAGTACGGAACCTTTCTGGGCATTCCTCTCTCGGTCTGAAAACTGCAGGTGATCCCGAAGAACTCTTTCCGTTTCAAAACCGTTTACGTAGAAACGAGAGGGGAAACGTCTCCCAAGGAGCAGAGGGCGGCCACCAATGAACAGAAGCTCCACCTGTCCACCGGGCGCCTCACGGAGACGCAGGGTCCGTTTCGCAGCTCCCGAGGGGCTCGGCTGGGCTTCGCGTTCTGGCCGCACCGTGGCCGGCCGGAGGCCACCTGCAAGCCCGGCCGCCCGAGGTCCGCACAACCGCTTTCGGCAGAGCAGATTCCGGTTGGATTTTCGGGGGGTCCGGGGTGGGGGAGCGCGAGGGGCGCCCTGCGGCAGGAGAGCGGAGTGGCCGCGCCGGCCCGCGGGGGCAGAGGCGAGGCCCTGGCCGGCAGGTGCATCGAGGAAACCCGCGCGCCCGGCCCGGGGGTCCCCCCGCGGGGGGCCGGGGAGGGGGCGGCGCGGGCCAGACACGCGCGCGGGCGGCCGGGCCGAGCAGGGAGCGCGCGGCACACAGCGCGCCTGCGCCGTGCGTGTGCGCGCCTGCGCCCCCCCACCCCCCGCAGCCCGCGTGAGCGCGCGCGCCGGGCCCGCGCCCGAGCTCCGAGGCGCGCCCCCGCCGCCGCCGCCGCCGCCGCCGCCGCCGCTCGCTCCGCGCCGCGATTACCTGAGGCCGCGGCGTCGCCCGCCCGTCAGCGCCCACTCGGAGGCGGCGGCCCGGCGTGAGGTGAGCTGCGGGCGCACGGCCGGACGCCCCGTCGGCGCCGCCAGGGCCGCGGCGGGGGGCGCGGGGGCCGCGGGGGCGCCGGGCTGAGGAGCCGAGGGGGCGCCTGGGCAGCCGGCGCCGGCGTCGCGGGGGCGGCGCGAACAAAAGCCGGGGGCGGGGGGACCCCAGACTCCCGCCCGCGCGCCCGGACACCTGTGCGAGTGTGGCCCCTGGCGATCCCCGCGGGACCCCCGGGGCCGGGCGCGACCCCTCACGTGGCCCCGGCCCCGCAACGCAGCCCCCCGGGGGTCCCCGCGCCCGCGCCCGCGCCGCGTCCGGCTCACGCGCCGTGTGGGTTTGCGGGGTCGGCTGGTGTGTGTGTGTGTGAGTATGTGTGTGTGAGTGTGTCTGCCTGTGTGTGCGCGTGTCAATGTATGCGTGTGTGAGTGTGTATGCGTGTGTGAGTGTGACTGTGAATGAGTGCGTGTGTGTGTATGAGTGCGTGTGTGTATGAGTGTGTGAGTGTGCGTGTGTGTGAATGTGTGTGTGTGCATGAGTGAGTGCGTGTGAGTGTGAGTGCGTGAATGTGTGTGTGAGAGAGTGCGTGTGTTAATGTGTGTGTGTGTGTGTGTGTGTGTGTGCTCGCACGCGTGCCGCCGGCTCGGGCACTGGAGGGATGCCCGGGGGCCCGCGGCGTGTTGGGACCGTTCACCGTCGACTTGGGCTTGGGGGCTTGGGTGGGGGGGGTCTCTTCGGAACAGACGTCGGGGAGCTGGGGCTGGGGTCTCCCGGGGCGGCACGGGGGCGCGTTTGTTTGTTTGCGCGGTGTTTTTGGAGAACAAAAGCGCCTGCCGGGAACCGGGCTCCCGCCGGGCGCTCCTCGGGAGTTGCAGGCGCAGCTGCCCTGTGGGAGGGATCCCGCTCGCGCGTGGGGGCCGGGAGAGGCCAGTGGGAACCTCGGACCTCGGTGCCGGGGGCCACAGAGCCGCCCCCAGCCCGCGGGCGGCGCCGGCGACAAAAACGGTAGCGGACCCCCCCACCCGCAGCCCCCCGCACTTCAGTCGCCCCCTCCCAAAGTGGCCCCCACGAATGGTGAATTTGGTGGGGTTTCTTAAATGCAGTTTCGCTCGACTTGGCGAGCCTTGTGCCCGGGAAGTGGGTTACTTTGCAAAGCCAGTTGTGCCAACGCGCTCGGAAACAAAGGCCAGACTGACATTGGGGGCTGGGGGGGGTGTGGGGGGTTTGCTCCCGCCGCCGCGCGCCCCTGCGCCCCTCGGGCCAGCGGGCAGCAGCTGCTGGATGCAGCTGGCCAGCCCGGCGGGACCCCCAGGACTCCACGGCCAGGGAAGAAAACCAGCTCCCAACACCCCCCAGAGAAAGGCAAAGAAAGGAGCCCGACTCGGGGAGGGGAGGAAAAGAGGGTGCGCCAGCACCGCAGCCTTCGCTTGCCCACGCTGTTTGGGGACATGTGCAACCCCCTCTAAGTAATAGAACTACCGGAAAATCCGTTCTAATGAAGCCGACCACCCTGCCTTCTCTGTCCTCCTTTTTTCTCAGTCGCTGTTCCTGTTTCCGCGTCTCTCCTCCTGTTAATCCGACGAGACTGTTAATAGGACGCTAAGCCCTTAGTCTCTTTCAGCCCTTTATTTCCCCTCCATCTTACAGCTGCTCTGTCCCCTTGGGATTTCTTTTGTGTTTTGAGCGGGCTCTTGGGGGTCCCGTGATGGGGTGTTTGTGGGCCCATTCATAGGAAGTGTGTGTTTTCCTGAAGAGTGTCATGTGAAGGCTCTGTCGTCCCTGCTTGGAAGGAGCGTGGAGTATTGACACGGGAGAAGTTCTGTTTTCCGCTTGACAGCAGAGGGGAAAAAATGATAGCTCCCCAACTTAGATTTCACATTTGATAGTAAGGCTGTGAGATTTGACATCCAAGCTTCCCCTGAGTGTGCTGTTTGTTGTTAGGTGACTGCTGAATTGTTTTCTTTGAGACAGGTGGTACAACATGGCTTTTATACATTTTTACCTTCTTTCACAGAGAAGAGCACTCTGGCACTATGGTCCCCCCTCCCCTCCCACCCCAAACCCTTTGAACCCTAGATTGATGGCTGCTTAAAAGCATATGGAGAATCCTTACCAGAGACTTTATCTGGGAAAGACTGGGGAAGGGCGGTGAAGCAGAGAAATGGAAAGGACTGTTTTCAGGAGTGGCTTTTCCATAAGGCCAGACACAAGTGTTTGTAGACGAACAACTTTCCCTGGCTAGCAGATAGGTCTAACTGATGGTTTTGTCAGAAACGGATTGGCTCTCAGCTTTCCAATTAATTCCACTGAGAACTATTGGCAGTTTTGGTGGATCCCAGGACTATATTACGAATGGAGCCTGAGATGACTGGAACTAGGGGTGTGGGCTTCAGAAGATCCTGCTCCCCAATCCTATCTCAGAAGTGATTTTACAGTCAAAGCATACAAGACACATAACTTTGTCAGGGGAAAAAGCAACCAGGGACTTGGTATTAAATAACTTTCTGGTTAAAAAAAAAATCTTAATTGGAAATGAAAGCTGGGCTAGAACTTCAGCTTGTTTTATTTTTAGTTTAGAGTCTGGCCATCTTTCACACTTTCTAGTTCTGTCTCTTTTAGTTAGAAAAAAATTGCAAAACTATAGGGCTGGGAGATAGTTTGGAAGGTTAGGTGCTTGCCTGGCAGGGCCTGCCTTCCTGGGTCCAACTCCCAGCACTGCATCAGGTCCCTCAAGCACCATCAGGAGTGATTCTTGAGCACTACCCCCACCTCCAGAAAAAAAGGAACTATATAGTTTGTCTACCATTCATTTACATTTTGAACCTAGAGTTGTTTTATTTATTTTTTGTTTTTGCCCTATCACTGGGCATATTGGAAGATTAGGTGAATAGATGATGAACTGGTGAGAATTTTGTTTCAAACAAGATAATTTTCCTTGATAGGAAAAGCTGTTATTTGGGTTAGTCACGGCTAACTTCTTCAGTTGGTTCTGGAAAAATTCCTCTGAAAGATGACAAAAATGATTGTTCTTGTTCTCACTGTAGCCACTTGGAGTGAGGCAACCTTTCCATAGTGTTTGCAGATCGGAAATGCAGATGTCTGTATTTTATGGGGAGTTAAGAAAAATGAAAACTTAGCAGAGAGTGATGAGATGGATCACTTTCTCTGTAGAACTCGTGAATTGAAATAGATTTGTTTAGATTCTTTTGACAAGTTCCGGGCCCCTTTTGGTATTCACTCTGCCTTCTGGTCACAGTTCCCGCCTTTCCTCCTGAGGTCTTCAGATCCAGCTTTGCAGCCAGCCTGGAAAGACTGTCTCTGGGGAGGCATGTCCCTTCTCCTTTATCACTGTCCTTAGTAAAGATACTTGGCTTATTTTCAAAGCGTGCTCTCTCTCTCTCTCTCTTTCTCTCTCTCTCCTCAAAGCAAAAGTGGGGGGTTTGCGTTGCATGCATCTGACCCAGTTCGATTCCTGGCACCTCATATGGTTCTGGAGCCCTGCCAGGGATTAAATCCTCGAGTGCAGAGCCAGGTGTAAGCCCTGAGGCACATCTGGGTGTGGTTCAAAAAAAAAAAAAAGAAAACTGATAATTGGGGCATTTCAGATTCTTGATGTTACACTTTTGGGAAATAAAAATGTAGATTTAAAATTACAGTTTTGAAAAATTACAATTTAATGATTGCTTTTTGTTTTCTGATAGAGGATTGATCAAGTGCTTAATCTTAAATCAGTTTTCAAGATATAGTTTATTGTCCCATGGAAGTGAATGTGCTCATTTCCCATAAGAACTGTCCAAGAACTAATGTTTTGCTGGGCCCTGACCTCTGAAGCCATTTGCTTCTCTAGTTAATCCATCACTCCAAACAAGTTCATTTACTCAGTTGGGGTAGTATAGATTCTTTTTTAAAAAATGTTTATTCTCATAAGGTTGTTCACATTAATTGATTACATTCAATATTTCAACACCAGTTCCACCGCCATTACACTTTCCATCCACCATTATTTCGAACTTTCCCACCACCATTCACGCTTTCCTGCCAGAGGCAGATGCTAGATAATTCATTCTCTATTGCTTATTATGAATATCATGAGAGGTCATGCAACCATGAAAGAGGTTGCATGCTTCTGGAATTACAAAACTGTAAATGGTTGGGGTCTAGAGACATCTCTGTAGGGAGCTAATCCATTTTGAGATTCATTTGAGAGTCTTTGGATCAAGGATGGTGACGCGCTGAGATGGCGCCAGGAGTCAGATTGTGGGCATGACAGCTAGGACCCCAAGTGGGTGGGGAGATGGGAAGGACAGCCTGTGACCACTGCCACCATGTGGCCTGTAGTTTTAGCCCTTGAACCCGCCTACCTGGGTTTTGCTTCTGGAAACTCATCGCCCTCAGGGTTTTGTCTGGAGTGGGCAGAGAGGGCACGCCCGCTCCATCTGAGGTGCCCCCGATGGAACTGGCCTGGCATGGGGTCCCCAGAGATTTCCAGAAAGCTGCTATCTTCTGAGACTTACTGCTCTTTCCTAG